AATTAATAGTTGTTTAAGCTGTACCAGTCTCTCTTCTAATGTATTTAGGGGGAAGTTCATTGTACAACGTGGGAGGGAAGACTAGGGTAGACTGAGATTTAGATGACATCAGTATTGGAAAGACTGAGAGTAGTGCTGCAGAGTTAGAAAAACACAAAGTAGTCAGGAAAGCAACTGGCTCCAGGCTCTACAGTTTGCATCTGACCCTCTTATTGTCATATAATTTCTCCACCTTAAACAGAAAAACTTAGTCTAGATGACTTTTTTTTTTTTTTTTTTTTTTTTTTTTTGAGAAGGTCTTCTGTAACATTCTTGGTCTAAAACCACCATATAGCTGAGAGGATAACCTTGAATTCTCAATTACCCTGCCTCCATCTAAGTGGAGGTATTACGCTGGGATCTATTTACCTTCACCATCAGTTAGTTTTATATTACCTGAATCCTAGAAATACTTCAACATTTTCTTTATCACATTTTGCAAGGAAATTTGAAATAAAAACAATGCTTTAGAGTATACAGCTGAGAAGCAAAGGGCCCAAAAGCCTAGGTTCAATTCCCAGCACCATAACAAAAAGTAAGAAATGGCTCAGATATGTAAGAAGATGTGATAGTGATTTAGAACAGGAATTTAAATAAATGCGTAAAAAAATATGTATTACATTTGTGTGTATGTCTGTGCACATGCCTGCAGAAACCAGAAGATGGCATCAGATTCCCTAGACGTGGAGTTACAGGCAGATCTCAGGATGTGGGTGCTGGCAATCATTCTGGCCCTCAGGAAGAAAAGTGTGTACACTTAACCACTGAGCTGTCTCTCTAGACTCAATTTAACATTTATTTCGAGCTCTAAACTAGCAGTTCTTAACTTGCGGGTAGCAACCCCTTTGGGGTGAGACAACTCTTTCCCAAGAGTCACATATAGATATCCTGCATACCAGATATTTACATTAAGATTTCTAACAGAGGCTGTTAAGATGGCTCTGAGGTTAAGAGCACTGGCTGCTCTTCCAGAGGTCCTGAGTTCAATTCCCAGCAACCACATGGCTCCCAACAATCTATAACGAGACCTGGGGCCCTCTTCTGGTATGCAGGTGTATGTACATGCAGACAGAAATTGTATACATAATAAATAAATCTTTTTATTTATTTATTTTTTTATTTATACAGTATTCTGCCTGCATGTGTGCTTGAGAACCAGAAGAGAGCACCAGCTCTCATTGTAGATAGTTATAAGCCACCATGTGGTTGCTGGGAATTGAACTCAGAACCTTTGGAAGAACAGCCAGTGTTCTTAACCTCTGAGCCATCTCTCCAGCCCAATAAATAAATCTTTAAAAAAAAGATTTATAACAGTAGCAAAATTACAAGTTATGAAGTAACAACAAAAACAATTGTTTGATTGGTCACCAAAACAGGAGGAACTGTATTAACTGTTAGTCACAGCATTAGAAAGGTTGAGAACCATTGTTCCAAATTATTCTGAGATCTGAAAGTCACCAACCTTATGAATTTATATTTATTGTAGGATGAAAGCAAGAAAATTACCTTTTGTGACAATGACAACAACAACATAATAATAATAATAATAAAGCAGGACAGTAGAATGAAGGACACACCAAAGCGGCCAGAGAAAATAGAGGCTTGGGGACAGGACTCTGAAGGGATAACTTTAAGGTGACAGTAAGGAAGTGAATAACCAGCTATTAGAAGAGCCAGCAATGTTTAGGACACTCATTTCTTTAATGCTATGCATAAAGTATTTTTGTTTTTTGTTTTGTTTTGTTTTGTTTTTTTGAGACAGGGTCTCACTATGTAGCCGTGGCTGTTGTAGAACTCAATCTGTAGATCAGCCTGGCCTCTGTCTCCCAAGTGCTAGGATTAAAGGTGTTTCACTATGCTGGGCTCAAAAATAAGTACACACACCAGGTCAGGTATTGCAGTGAGTGGCACCCCCAACATCCCCAGTCAGGTTTCTCTATGGAGACCTGGCTGTCCGAGAACTCACCCTGTAGACAAGAATGGCCTCAGACTCACAGATCTGGCTGTCTTTGCTATGTGCGGGGATTAAAGGCATGGGCCACCACTGCCTAGCATAAACCACTTTCTATATGAAACAAGGAGCAATGATTCCTCTTCAAAGGAATTTACAGTCATCATTAGGCTATAATTAAGCATCATAAATAAGAAAATCTAATTACATAACACTTAAGAAAGAAACTAGACCTATCCCAATTGGACCATTAATGATAAATAAATTTTGGCTATGAGAAAGGGAAAGTGGAGAACTCTTTAAATTAAGCATAAAAGGGAAAAGTAATATAATCACATTTGGCTCAAAGTTAAAAGAAAGAATATGAATCAAAGTCAAAAAAGTACTGAAGGCAAGCTTTAATTTCAAAAGATGAAAAAACACTGAAATTAATGTATAGAAAAACAGAAAGTTATGATGCTTACCCTCATCTAGAATATCTAGAGATTTAGAGAAAACAAACCAAACATGCAACTCAAACCACCTGTTCTAGAGAACAGTAAGTCCAGAGAGCTAAGAAAATCAGCAAAAACTAGTGTTAGAGAAACCAAGAAACTAAAAGGGTCGGTGATAAAGCTCAGTAGTTAAGAGCACTTACTGCTCTTATAGTTTCACCTCTGAGCACACATATCGGGTAGCTCATGACTGCCTGAACATGATAAACACAAACTCATATAAGCACACACATACACATAAATATAAACACATCAATAGATAAACCTTAAAAAATAAAAGAACCCAATACATAACAATGTGCAATGCTGCAGAGGAGAAAGCTTGAAAGGAACGCCTTACATTTATGACTAAGAATACAGCTTTGAGGGGCTACAGAAATGGCTCAGCAATTAAGAACACTGCTGCTCTTGCAGAAGATGAGGTTAGGCTCCTTTGTAACTGCAGTTCTAGGGCATCTGATGCTCTCTCTGGCACCCTGCACACATGTATTGCATATATATTAATTACTCATGTAGGCACAAGCATTTATATCTAATTAAACTGTAAGTAAATTCTTAAAAAACTCACAGGGAAAAATACATATAAATAAATCAATCTTTAAAAATAATACAGCTTCAAGCCAGGCACAGTGATCCAAATCTGTAACCCCATTGAGACTGAAGGAATGCTGTGATTTAAAGAGGCCAACCTGGCCTACAGAATGAGATACTGTTTCAAAAATGAAACCAAACCAAATAAAAAACAAATGAACAAAAACCCTGAGGCTTCTGATAGCAAAAATCAGACTGCAAAGATGGTCAGAAGAGTCAAAACTGCAGTGAGTCAAGATACACATAAAGGGATGCAAGTCTGATGTTGACACACAATTGAGCAAATACATGAGGTGGAAAGATAAAAACAGTTTAGGCAGGCATGATGGCCCACGTTTTAAATCAGAGCACTAGAGAGGCAGAGGCAGGAGAATTCCAGTAACAAAAAAAAAAAACAAAAAACAAAAAACAAAAAAAACCACTTAATTGGGACAGAACAGTGTGTGTGTGTGTGTGTGTGTGTGTTTCTATAGGGGAGTGAAGGGTTTGAAATATTTTAGTAATGGAGAGGGCCTGGGTATGAGAAAGCTTGAGAATACAAACACTTTTAGTAAAATGGCAGCATTTGTTGCTAGTGGCTTCAAGTAATTCAGATATACAAAGAAAGGTGGAGGTAAAAGGCTCCACTAAAAGAGTATTTCATTACACTTTATAGACAGGCATATAAAGTGGTACGTAGATGTGCGTGTATGTCTCTGTAAAACACATATTTATGTCTACAAATAAAAATATTTGAGCCTAAGCTCCAATATTATTTGATCCGGTCTACACCTTTACATTGTATAGCAAAATGAGTTTAAAAAAATAAAATGGCCACTGATAACTGAGAACGCAATTACAGATCCTCTTTAATTTGCAAATTCACACAGTCAATTTATAGGCTTTTACTTGTTTGAAGTTAAGTAAATAATTTTGCTCTTGGAAAGTCACAGGCTGAAAATGATTTTAAAATGCTCCTTACAGGCTGGGGAAGATGGCTCGGTGCTTAAGAGCACTGGCTGCTCTTCCAAAGAATCCAGGTTCAAGTCCCAGCGCCCACATGGTGGCTCACAACCGCTTGTAACTATACATACTTATTTTCTAATGCTTCTTTAAAAACGATGTCTGAGGGATCATACACAGGTGAGGATTTACAAACGAAAGTAGGCACTGGAGAGATGGCTCAGAAGATGCTCTTGCAGAGAATCTGAGTTCAGTTCCCAGCACCCACACCGGGTCTCACCACTGTCCTTAACTCCAATTCCAGAGGATCATCCAAAGAAGAGGTCATCTGACTTCGTGGGTGCCAGGTATGCACGTGGTGCGCTTACATGCACACAAGACATGCAAACACGGAAGTTAAAAATAAACCTTAAAGAGATGAAATTGTACCCTCTTGGTTTGTATGGGACTGCAAACCTGTACAACAGAAAAAAGCACGTTTGAAGTGACTCAGTCTTTCTGGAAAAGTCAGTTAATTATATCCGACACCTGTCTCTACAACTACAACTTTAATCTGAAAATAAATGCTAATGACCCTCACAGAAAAATAAGATTGCAAATGGCTACACAACAGACACCTGTGTTTTCTGCTAAATTAAATCCAACTGCTGTTGTCCTAACATTTTTTTTTTCGGGTTTCGGTGGGTCCTTCCCAGAAGGGATTCTCATCCATCCGCTGTCACACGTAACTCTGAAATACTGCGATGAACTGGTAGGGCCCGCCAGTGAAGTCGCCTGGGCCACTTCACGTTCGCACGTCGGATGTGCGCCCCTGGAAGGAGTTTCCCAGCCTAAGGAGGCAGGCCGGGGAGGGTCCCAAGGCTGTGGAGGAGGCAGCCCACTCCGCCAGGGCCCAGGGCTCCCTCTCCAAGCTCCGTCTCAAGGAGCCCCCACTCGAGAAAGGGTCCCACACAGCAGGCTTCCCCCCGGAAAGAGGCACTCACTGTCGATGTCCTCGATGAGGCTGGCGGTGCCGGGCATGTAGTTCATCTTGACCTCTCGCAAGGCCACACCGGACAGCCGCGGGGGCGTCCAGTCGCCCGTCGGCGGGACGCGGACGGGAACCCGCCGCTCACCTGCCCCTGGCTCGCCGCCGGTAGCCGGAAGCGCTCTCAGGTTACCCCACCCACTTCCGGTACCGCGTGTCCGTCTACAGAAAGAGGCGTGCCGCCGGGCGGGTGGTCGTCGGCGCCGTTTTCTTCCCGTCCGGTCAGTGAAGCGGAGTCCAGGCCCGGTGGATGAAGGACGGGCGTTCCCTCCCGCGTGACGACCGGTGCGGTTCCCCTCCTCGCTTCCCTGCTCGGAGGACCCGGTGGAGGTGTACGGTCCATGTCCGCTCGGCCCTCGGCGTGCAAGGGGCGGGACCGGCTCGTGATTGGCTGCAGCCGTCCGACCCCCTTCGCCGCCCTCCAGTCCCTGTCGCCCGCCGGCGCCTGCGCGATGGGCCGGCCGTGGGGGGCGGGAAGCGCTTCGCGGCTGCGGAGCCCATGTCGGCCCTGAGGCGCTCGGGCTACGGCCCCAGCGACGGCCCTTCGTACGGCCGCTACTACGGGCCCGGGGGAGGCGATGTCCCGGTGCACGTACCTCCGCCCTTGTACCCTCCGCTTCGCCCCGAGCCTCCCCAGCCTCCGGTTTCCTGGCGGGGGCGCGGGGGCGCCCCGGCCGAGACCACCTGGCCGGGAGAAGGCGCAGGTGGCGATGGCTACTACCCCTCTGGAGGCGCCTGGGCAGAGCCGAGCAGAGCCGCGGGAGGCCACCAGGTAGGCTCCCAGGTCCTTCCCGGGGGTGCAGCGGGGAAGTCACGGGTGGAGGTGAGGACCATTGGGGGTGTTCCACTTAGGGTTGGTTACGACTCGGGCTTCTGATTTGTTGTCGTTCCTCTAGGGAGGGTGCAGAGACGAGGAGGGCTGGAGACGTAAGTGAGGGGGCTGTGGGCTTGGCTTCCATTCGTCCCTTCGTGTTTACTTCAGCCTTCGTAAGTGTGCCTGCTGCCACCCAAAACCGAAAAAAATTCTTCTGCGCTGACTCCCTAAGCTTGGTAGCAGGCTGCGGGCTGTCGCTCTCTCCCGAGAGCTAGATCGGAGCGATTGGGCTGTAACAATTTATCCTGCGTGGCTAAGGGAGCTGCGGCCCCAGTCCTTACTCAGCAGCCCCTCCCGCGGGGAAAGGATCTGTGCGGGCCGGGCTGATCTTTCAGTCCCTTATCACTAAAGCTCTGCCTGGGATTGAATCACGAAAAGTCAGTGTTGTAGAGTACCTCTGTGTTCTGTTGAATCATCACAGGACTGCAAGGCCGATGTTATTAATGCTTCCCAATTTTTGAATGAAGAAGGCTCTGAGAGTCAGGTTCACTTGCTTAATATGTTTGGACCTGTAGCATTTTATTACTTGTATGCATGCCAAAAATATATATTTCTATTTCCTCCTTGTACGGAGCCATAGTTACAGGATGGTGGCACACATCTTTTAGCCTTCAGAACATCCTTATTTGCTGAAAATGAATGGTGAAATTCTCACACATAATGATGGGGTTATAAATTAGTGCAGTGCTTTGGAAAAATAGCTGAGTCTTTTCTAAAACTTCTGGCAGAGAATTAGCTTATGATCAGGCAGATCCACTTGTAAGTTTACTCAAGAAATGGAAAACAAGTGGTGGTGCACGCCCTTAATCCCAGCACCCAGGAGGGAGAGGTAGGCCAGCCAGCCTGGTCTACATAGTGAGTTCCATCCAGGACAGCCAGGGCAACATGGTGAGACCCCGTCTCAAACAAAGAACAACAACAACAACAAAAAGAAATGGAAAACAGTATTTTCATAGCATCAATTAATTAACGGCCAAAAATTGGAAATAACTCATACAGTTATCACTGATTGCTGGAGGTATGTTTTAGAACATGACACCTAGAAAGGCATGGAGTTCACCCCTTACATTCTTGTTTTAACATGATTGAACCTTAAATAGATCATGTGTGGTGGATGAAACTAGTCACAAGGATTGCATGTCATACTGCATGACTCCATTTATATATAGTGCCCAGAGTAAGCAATTCCTAGAGACAAACACTGGTGAGCTGCTGGGGTTGGGGACTGGAAGGAATTGCTGAAGAGCTGGGCTTTGAGGTGATACAGTATTCTGAAGTTAATGATGATGGTTTCCCAATTCTGAGTGTCCTAAAAACTACTGAATTGTACATTGAAAAAATTAAATTAATAAAAACATCACTTCTCTAAAAATTGTGTAAGAGTAGAAACAGGTAGTGTTAAGTTAACTGTGAAAAAGGATCCATGTTTTCAGTGCTGAATCCGTAAGTAGAATGGGATAAGTAGGCCGTTGGACTTTAATCACATGGTCTAACGATGAACCACTCAGCCTTTTAAGTACCCAAATTAAAGACAGTTGATGAGGAAAAGGAGTTGAGCTTTAAACTGCTGACTGGCTTCTGTTGAGTTTGCTATATTTTCAAACTAAACGCCTCAGAGACAACAGTTGAAACAGGGAAATAAAAGTTCTTTTTACAGTTTTTTGTTGGGGAAAGACTTGCAGAAGTTAAAGTTCAGCATCCTGTAGGGAGCCATGAGGTTTGGTTGAAGTAGAACTGTGTGCATCAGACAAGTTATGGTGCTAGAGTAATTTGAAATAAACTGAAAATGTATAATGGGCATTTGTAAGTCTTTTTCCTTTTTTTTTTTTTTTTTTCAAGACAGGGTTTCCCTGTGTAGCCCTATCTGTGGTGGAATTCTATCTGTAGACCAGGCTAGCTTTGAACTCACAGAGATACTTCTGTCTTTGCCTCCTGAGTGCTGGGATTAAAGGTGTGTGGCTCTGTGCCCAGTCCAAGGGTAGAATTTCTAATACACCCATAGAAACAAATCAAAGATATGCATGTTGTCAAAATGTGCTTTTTTTTTTTTTTTTTTTTTTGATAAATCTACAATCTTAACTCTATTGGCTTTTTACTAAATTTTATAGTATATCTGTGAAATTAAAGAAAAAAGGGAAGTACATGGCCGGGATGTGGTGCACCTCGAAGGTGTGAAGGTTGGGTGGGATCCCTAGAACTCATGGAAATGTTGGGTGGCTATAATTTCACCTTGAGAAGGCTGAGGGCTAGCTGGCTAGCAAGACTACCTATAGCTAGTGGGAGGGCTCTGGGTTTGATTGAGAGAGCCTGCCTCATTGAGTGAGGTGGAGGAGCTATTGAGGAAATCAGCCTCAGGCCTCTCTATGCAGGTGCACCCCACACACCTTTGTTTCTGCACATACAAATGTGAATATGCACACACATAGGAAAGGGGGGAGTATGGGCAAATTTTTTCTTCTCTTTTTTTTCTCCCAAGTGGGATTTGAACCCAGGACCTTGTGTACTTCAGGCATACCCTCTACTGGTGACCTACTTATACCTGTAACCCTACAGGGAACTTTAAGAATCTACCTAGAACATGTGATCTTTGGACACTAATCTTCAGGGTTCCTGTACATACTGTGTGTTACCTACATTGAGGGCCTCTTATATCTGAGGCTGGCCTCAACTCCCTGTATAGCCATGCAGGGTCTTTACTTTCTCAGCTTCATGCCTTTCCCTCTCAAATGCTGAGATTATAGGTGAGCCCTACCCTGCCCTGTTTTGAAATTAACATATTTAAGCCCAGCTCGTGATGGCTCACAGCATTTGGGAAACAGACCAGTAGATCTCTGGGTTCAAGACCAGTCTGTTCCACAGAGTGAGTTCCAGGATAGCCAGGCCTCACAGAGAAACCTTGTCTTAAACAAACAAAACAATATGACAAAGTTAACATATTTAAATATGATGTAGGGAAAAATTGGAAATACCTCACTTTCACCAGTTTTTTAAGAGAGCAACTTCCAGCACTAGAGAGATGGCTCAGTGGTTAAGAGCACTGGCTGCTCTTCCAGAGGACCTGGGTTCAATCCAGCAGCCACATGGTGGCTCACAATTGTGTAACTCTGGGTCCAGGTGGTCTGATACCCTCTTCTGGCCTACTCAGGCACCAGGCACATACATGGTGCATATACATACACGTTTTTGTAACATTTCGATCCTGTTGTCACTGCTCTTGGTTAGCCACCACAACTGGATGGTAAAGTCCTGTTGTTGAAGGCACCGCATACTTTGCGGTACAGAGAGAAATCAAAGTGAAGCTGAGCTGGAAGCTTCCTCCCTGCAGGCTCATTTTCATAATGCCTTGTGTGGCTGTGCAGGCTGCTTGAAAAAAATTTATGAACAGTCTTAACAAGGTATGGGTCCATGCTGCACCACTAACTTGCCTGGTAAAATGTGCCTCCTTGTGTGATAGTGGCATGACTGTTACAGGGTTAATGAACCACTTTCTATTTGAGCCCCACTCCACAGGGAGAATTCATGCCTGGTACTCTGAGCCTGTTCAGAAGCCTTTGGCTGGGGAGGCCATAGACCCTAATGGGGAAACTGCTACTACTGTTGTTTTGCTAAATGGACAAATTGTGCCCACCAAAGAGCTTTCTTCTAATTATTTATGTTTACGTTTACAGATTAGTGTTGTTCTTGGGTTTGGTCAAAGGTTTGTTGTTGTTGGTAGTGGTGGTGGGGGTTTGTGTGGGTGGTGACTAATGCCTAACTGGTTACTGTGCTGAAAAAGTGATTGCTGAATGCTCAGCCCTAAATAGGTCATGCATTCTATCCCCTCCAAGGATCAAAGAACGTTATGGAAGTGGGAGTGGAAAGACTGTAAGCCAGAGAAAGGAGTGGGGTGTTATGAAAGACTGTCTACAGGGTGTGACATGATCACTGCATTGATGAATTGTATTGCAGCTGACATTACCTATTTAAGATCTGCATATGATTAAGCTCAGTAGCATTTCATCATAGATGGAGGAGAGGCTCATGAGGTCCCACCTCTCTGAGGATTTATAGGCCATGAACAGATGCCAGTACAGAGTGGTTGACAAGGCACCATCTCTTCCAGAGGAGCTGTTGGCAGTTAGTAGTTGCCAGGGGTGGGGCGGGAGGTGATCTTTAGTGCCGTAGCCACTGTTAAGTTGTCCATGCTCCTTTAAATATCCCCTCATCCATGCTCATGTGAGCAACCCTAATTAAATGCATTTAGAGATTTGAGGGGACAAGAAAAAGTGAAACTGTTTCTGACGACTCTATATAATTGTTAACAGTGCTGAGTGCCTACTTGAGACTTACGGTCAAAGTGAAAACACAATTGGGGTGTTTGGCACAGGCCTGTGATCCCAGCTTTTGAGGTAGCTTAAGATGGGAGGATAGAAAATTTCAGGCCAGGCTGGCAACTCCATAGAACCCTGTCTCAAAAATAACGAGTGGCTAGGGATGTACCACCCTGATAGAACACTTGCCTAGCATCACAAAACTCTGGGTTTAATCTCCAGTGTGGGAAGAAAAAACCAAACTAAACAACACCAAGGGAGAAAAAACTAGAAGCTGCTTGCATTTTCTGTATACATCGGATAACTTGCATTTCAGTGTGTTTTTTTGTGAGGGAAGTCTATCTGAAGAAAGAAAAGCAAGGAGCTATGGTGTTAGGAAGCTGAGTCAGGAAGAGAGGAAGTGTAGAGTGTGGAGGATATAGGTAGTTAAATTGAACCTTAAAGATTCACCTGGAAGGACTGACTCTTGTAGTAGTCCCAAGATTTTGGGCACCACATCTAGGGCAGTCAGCTTCAGCCCTTGTCTTCTCTTTACTCGAGATTTAAATTTTTGGTAGAGAGTGTAGATACAAGTAACTAACTCTAGGTTTAATCCAGTGTAACCAACAAACAACAAAAACTAACAGTCAAAAGTGCTCTACTTTAAAGGAAATAAAAATGGTTTATGGCCAAACGTGCACTTAATCTGTAAATTCAAAGCCAAGTAATACCTCGCTGAATAGTAAACACATCATGTTAAGCTAGGCAGCAAGAGCGGTTTAAGAATTGGTTTGGGGGATTTTTACAAGAGGTTAGTGGCTTATTGCAATTAATTTGAAGACAGAGCATGAAAAGATGATGTTATCACAGCTAGACTTGCACCTTCCAGTGGGGGTTGTTCTATACAGGTTGATGACTCTGAAGTTATAAGCTGTAAGACAAAGGCTTAGCTGTAGGGAAAAGTACTGGGTTTAAAAAAAAAAAAAAAGGTGTGCTTGTAGTAAACTCATGTAGTAGTAGTTTTGTCTTCCAAAGTTATTAGATAAGTATAAATCTAAATAGTGACAAATAACTGTTATTTTGTACTAGTTAAAGAGGGTAAATACCTCATATTTGAAATGTTTGTGACCAAAAGTATTTCAGGTTTCAGAATTTTTTTTTTTTTTTCCTGAGACAGGATTTCTCTGTGTAGCCTTGGCTATCCTGGACTCGCTTTGTAGACCAGGCTGGCCTCGAACTCATAGCTATCCTCATGCTTCTGCTGGGATTACAGATTTGCGCCACCATGTCCAGCTTGGTTTCAGACTTTTGAAAGCATTAAATGTACATGTGTCTTTGAAGGTAACTGTACAGCATTTTAATGCCTTTACATTTTGTTTTGCTGCACTGGGAATGGAACCCAAGGCGTTGACTGTGCTTAGCCAAGTTCTCTGCCACTGAGCCATACACACATTACATGGATTTTGACTGCAGCTCATCACATCTAATCAAGTGTGAATCTTTCCTCTTGGGATGGCATATCAAAGCTCAAAATATCCAGAATTACAGCAGTTTAGATTTCAAATTTTCAGATTGGGTATATTGAAAATATACTGATGAGAGGTAGTGATTGGCAGTGGATAAAGGCAGACTGTTGTCTGTGGTTTTGTTAGTCACCTTGACATAAGATTCCTTTTCTTATTATTTCAAGTGGCTGGCATATAATGCCAGTCTTTTACCAGATACTCAGTAGCTGTTTTGTTCTGGGGCACATTGTTTACTTTGTAACTTATCTTTTAAGTGTAATAGTGATTATAATGGCTCTATAGTAGGGATCCTTTTTTGCCTGTTGTTCTTTTTGATGCCCCTAATCTTTTCTCTTGTTAGAGGTATTCATTTTGCTGTCTAACTAGTAGTAAAAGTGAATTTGACATGGTAATGCACACCTGTAATTATAGGACTGGGAAGGTAAAGAGGCAGGAGGAATGCAAGTTTGAGTCCCAGCCCTGGGATAGCAAGTTTCAGGTCAGCTTCGTGTGCGTAGGGAAACCATTTCAAAAGAAAGCATCAACAATAGAAAGAATGCTATTTAACATTGACTTGTTTTCCTTTTTTCCTTAGGAGCAGCCACCATATCCTGGCTACAATTCTAACTACTGGAATTCTGTGAGAGCGCGGGCCCCATACCCAAATTCATATTCTGTGAGACCAGAGTTACAAGGCCAGGTATGGCTGAAAATTGGCAGATTTTCTTTCTTTTTTCCTCCCTCCCTCCCTCCTTCCTTCTTTCCTTCCTTCCTTGTTTTTTGAGACAGGATTTTTCTGTGTTCTGTCTGTCCTGGAACTCTATAGACCAGGCTGGTCTTGAACCCACAGAAATTTCTTCTACCTTCACCTCCCAAGATCTCCCACAGAGATCTGCTTGCCTCTGCCTGGCAGGTGCTGGGATTAAAGGCAAGTGCCACCACCTCCCAGCCCACTTTCCCTTTTCTATATTGAGATTTTGTCTGGTTTAAACAGGTCTTGTGCATGTAGTCACAGTCTCTGTGAGTTCATATACATGTCAACCCTTTCATGTTTGGATTATGCAGTTTCCTTGAAGTCATCCATCACCTCTGGCTCTTACAGTGTTTTCTGCCTGCTTTTCCACTTAGATCCCTGAGCCTTGAGGGGAAATACTGGGTAAAGACATCCCATTAGGGCTGAGTGCTCCACAGTTTCTTATTCTCTGCACATGGTCCAGTGGTGGGTCTGTGTTACTGACCTGTTTCTACAAAAAGCAGCTTCTCTGATGGGGGCTGAGCAATGCACTCATCTATGGGTATAGCAATATGTCATTAAGAGTTACTTTATTGCTATGTTCCCTTAACAGAATAGCATTAGTAGGTTTTCCCTTAGGGCCTGTTACCTATGTAAAGTTCTTGGCCACTTGAGCAATGTTAAGTATGGGTCCATCTTACGGAGCGGGCCGTATATCTACTATTAAAGAGGTTGGTTGCTCCCGTAATGTTTGTGCTTCTGTTGTACCAGGATACCTTATAGGGAGGCTGCTGATAGCATTCTCTATATGCCTAGGCAAGCGCTTTGTCACTGAGCGACCTCCCTAACCCTGGTAAGAGTTTAGTAATTCCTACTTGTGTTTTCTCCTAAAATAGGACCATCGTGTGTAATTTCCTCTAAATTTCCTTTTTGTTTTTTCCAGATAGGTTTTCTCTGTGTAACAGAGCCCTGGCTGTCCTGAACTCACTTTGTAGACGAGGCTGACCTCCAAATCACAGAGATCCACCTGCCTGCCTCTGCCTCCACCTCTGCCTCCCCAGTGCTAGGACTAAAGTCATGTGCCACTACCACCTGGCACATGCTGTTCTTCAACACATTCCTTTTGCCTAAAGAATCTTTTGAGGGCTAGAGAGATGGCTCAGTGGGTAAGAACAGTAGCTGTTCTTTTAGAGGTCCTGAATTCAATTCCTAGCACCCACTGGTGGCTCACAACCATCTTTAACTATAGTTACATGGGATTAGTTGACCTCTTCTGTTATACAGATAGATGTACCTGCAGGTAAAAGTCTACATACATAAAATAAATAAATCTTTATTAAAAAAAAAAAAAGAATCTACTTGAACACCAAACTTCCCTGGATTCTAGATTTCACACACGTGCACGTGCACACACACACACATATTGAGGCAGGGTCCCTCTTATGTAGTTCTACTGTCCTTGAATTCCAAGAGATCTACCTGCCTCTGCCTCTGCTGCCCAAGTGCTGGGATTAAAACCATGTCCACTATTGCCCACCTTTTTTTTTTTTTTTTTTTTTTTTAAGGATTTATTTATTTATTATGTGTACAGTGGTCTGCCGGCATGTATACCTGCACGCCAGAAGAGGGCACCAGATCTCATTATAGGTGGTTGTGAGCCACCGTGTGGTGCTGGGAATTGAACTCAGGACCTCTGGAAGAGCAGCAAGTGCTCTTAACCTCTGAGCCGTCTCTCTAGCCCTATGCCCAGCTTTTTATATAACATTTTTCAAAGCATAAACTTCTTTATTATACAAATAATGAAGACAAGCATTTGGATGGTTGGCAGAGGCAGCTGTTCCCACAGCTCCAGGTGGCTGAGGCCTTTTTGCTCAGATTTCACAGTGTTTTAGTAATAGCTGAACATTCAAGTGCTTCTTTAGTACCCATTATGATAAACACCATCACATTCATCTTGCTGAAGTATCTTACTTAGTGTCTGGAACCAGAGGTGACAAAATGGTGCAAGGTGTTGTAAAGTAGCCGGTGTAACAAAAGTCTGGTAGCTCAGCATGGTACATGCAGAGCCTTCCTTCCAGAGGACACCATTGGTTTTAGAAACTCAAAAGCAGTTCAGTTACACAGCATCTGTGCTGGAGCATCTGCCTTCTGAAAGAATCTTTTTTCCCAGAATAGCACCCAAACTTGATGTTCCCCTAGTTTCTGACATCATTGAGATCCAGTCACATGACACATTAATGAGAAATCTTCTATGCAGGAAATGTTTTATGAATAGTAAAGTACGATGACAAAGTGAAGACGTTTTCTTTTCAGGGAACATCTTTTGAGGCTGCAGCAACAAGTAGAGGTAGTGCTGGTTCAGAAGAGGTACCAACATCTTTGCCAGCAGGAATATCAGAGTGGCTTGACTAGAAGTTGAGGAAAAGTGATCAACCAGAACTGATGCCAAAGTGTTGGTATATGGGGTCTAAAGAATAGGGTCTTAAGTTGCCAGATGATTGGCAGATCAGCTACATGCTACAATTGGTGCCTCCCTTGCTGCTCTAAAGCTGGCTTTGTTCTAATGGCATGCAAGTCGGTCAGACAAGAACGTAGTAGCTCTAGAACTTTATATTGTTGTCGGGATATCTGGAGCTGGTGCAGTGTTTGGCTGGGATGAAGGACAACAAGATAATTGTAGCTATTAACAAAGACCCGTGGCTCTGATTTTCCAAATGGCAGATATGGAATAATCACAGAAATGTTTAAGATGGTTCTTGAGGTGATTGAGATACTGAAGGAAAAATAGGTCGTGATTCTACCTTAAGAAACTGTCCGGGGCTAGAGAGATGACATAGAGGGTAAGAGCACTGGCTGAGTTCAGTTCGCAGCAACATAACAATAACCATCTATAATGAGATCTGGTGCCCTCTTCTAGCATGAATGCATACATACAGGCAGAACACTGTATATATATGTGCATATATATATATATATACATATATATATATATATATGAAACTGTCTGAAACAAGGCATAATGGCACACGCCTGTAATCCCAGCACTAAGGGAAGAAAAAGGCAGGCAGTTCTCTATTGAGTTCGAAGACAAAGCGAGTCCAGGACAGCCAAGGCTACACAGAGAAATCCAGTCTCAGAAAAACAAACATAAAGTTAAATAAATGAATAACTAAAATAAAAAGAAAAGTGTCAGGTGTGGTGGTGGGCTTTTAATCACAGTGCTCAGGGAGGCAGAGGCAGGCAGATCACTGTGAGTTTGCGGCTAGGTTGGTCTACAGAGCAAGTTGGAAGACAGCCAGGGGTACACAGAGAAACCCTGTCTCAAAACAACAACCAAAAAAAAAACAAAAAACAAGCAAACAAAAAAACCCAAAAAAGACAGAAAGAAAAAAGAATACTCTCAGTATATGGGGGAAATTATAGAAATTCATAAATTTAGGAAAAAATTCTAACAGCAGGCATAATGTCCTTTGATAAACTGATTATTCTTTTTTTTATTATTATTATTTGTGGTTCCAAACAGTTATTTTTGTGAAATTTTTAAATTTCGTTATATATAACAAAGCTTTTTAAAAATGTAAATTTATTGTCAGGTGTGGTGGTGTGTGCCTTTTAATCCTGGTGTTTAGGAGGCAGAGGCAGGCAGATTTCTACCAGGTTAACAAAGGCTACATCCTGAGGCCCTGTTTCAGACAAACAGACAGACAGGTAGGGAGATGATAGATAATTAGGGTTATTAGATATCTGGAAGTGGACATGGTGACACGTCTTTAACTCCTGCTCCTAAGATGCAGAGGCAGTGGGGTGGCAGTGGAACACACCTTTGATTCCAGCACTTGGGAGGCAGAAGCAGGCAGATCACTGAGTTTGAGGCCAGCCTGGTCTACGGAGTGAGTACAAGACAGCCAAGGTCACACAGAAACCCTGTGTGGAAAAACAAAAACATGCAGATGCAGAGATAAGGAAAATCACCGCACCACTAGAGGCTTCATGGTGAGTTTCGGAAGAAAACCCTTTCATACAGACAGACATCTAAGCGAAGTTGAAAAATAAGGAAAGAATGAAAATAACTCTTGTGCTGTCCTAATATGACTGTATAGGAGATGCATCTTCAGTCTTCCCTCTGCCATCTGTATACACCTCTTAAATGTTTCCATTCAGTTTTTAGTATTCGATGTGTGTGATGGGGGAGTGTGCCGCAGTTGTCATGTGGAAGTCAGAAGACAGCTTTCAGGAGTTCTCTTCACTGGTCTAAGGATTAAACTCACGTCGTTAGGCTTGCAAAACAACCATCCTTACCCATTAAACTATGTCTGCTGCCCTGTTGCACACTTCTGTGTTTCCCTGTCATGTTCAGTTTACAGACTCAATGACAAGACCTTCTTTGTTCCAACCCCCTGTCCCATAGCTCTCAGCCTCTTGAGTGCTGGAATTATGTGCCTGTGACTACCATACCACTTCTTCTTTCTTTTCTTTCATATTAAGAAAATTTCAAACAAAAGTAGAAATAAATGTTCCTCCCAGCTTCAACAAGACTCAACACTTGACCATATTGTGTTGTCTTTGTAATATTTTCTTGGAGTATTTTTGAAAAAACCAAATAGCATATTTTATTGCTTTTAAATAAATCTAAGTATGTGTATTTAAAAACAAACAAAAAACTACCATGTAATGGTAGTTTAAATGAGTCTATGCTGTCCCTCATAGACTCTGACGTGTGAACACTTGATCTCCAGTTGGTGCTACTTTCTGGGAGATTTAAGAGGTCCGGCCTTGCTTAAATATGTCACTGGACTTTGAGAGCTGAAAGATTTGAGCCATTCTCAGCTTGCTTTTGTGCTTATAGTTTAAAATGTGAGCTTTCAGCTTACTTCCCCAGCCTCCACTCCACCATAATGGAACTTATCCTAGAAAACCAAAAGCCCAAATAAACCCTCTCTTAAGTTGCCTTGGTCATGGTGTTTTATTCCAGCAATAAAAAGTCTTAATCACAGATCATGATTAAGACTTTATAAAGGCGTGCCAGCGAGATAACTCAGTGGGTAGAGGTACTTATCACCAAGACTCATCACCGAAGTTCAATTCCTGGAACCCACATGGTAGAAGAGACAAACTCTCACAGGTGTTCTGAGCTCAACATATGTGCTCTGACATATATAACATATGAGCCCACCATCATCCACACTGTAAAATAATGATGGCATGATGGCACACACCTTCATTCCCAGCACTCAGGAAGCAAAGGCAGAAGGATCTTGAGTTTAAGGCCCAGCCCTATGTACATAACAAGTTCCAGGCCAGCCAAGCCCCTTAATGAGACCCTAGCTCAAAAAAGAAAAGGAAGTGAGTAAAGAGATGTAGGAAACAAAGCAAAGAAAATTGCTTACAAGGAAACAATTCTAAAATTAAATCTACTTGTTTCTAACAGTAAACTGAATAAAATTTCATAAGAATGATCCTTGGGGCTGGAGAGATGGCTCAGCAATTAGGAGCACTGGCTGCTTTTCTTAAAGGTCTGGGTTCAATTCCCAACACCCTCATGTCCACTCATAGCTCTCTGTAATTCCAGTTCCAGGGGTCTTACAGACATATGCAAGGAAAACACCAATGCATGTCAAATAAAAAATAAATTAATTAAAAGATATTTTTTCTAAAAATAGTCTTTATTCTGTTTAGTCATTTGATTATCGTAGGACATGGCATTTAAGCTCTATGACATTTTGTGTAACTCATATTTTAAGAGTTACTTATTTTCATTTTGTATATATGGGTGTTTTACCTGCTTGTACGCATGTGTAGCACATGTGTGCAATGTCCATAGAGGCTTGAAGAGCAGCGCATTGCCTGGAAGTAGAACTGCAGGTGGTTGTGAGTCTGGAAACTGAACTTGGGCCCTCTGGAGGAGCAGCTCTTAACTGCTGAGCTATACCTCCAGCCCTGTACTATTTTGTGTAATTACAGATAATGTACATAACAACTTCATGCCTGTGACTTTTTTTTTTTTTTTTAGTTGAATGATTTCCTTGGGAAGTAATTACAGACCAAAAAGTCACGTGGCATTTTATCAAATCTTGACCTTTGTATTCTATTAAGGAGTTATTTTTTTAGACTGAAAACCTCAAGGGTTTATGGGGAATATATGACTTGGCTCTTTAATGTTTTAATCTTTTATTGTCCCTGACCACACATGCAATTCTTTGGGCATTTGTATTTTGTTTCTCTTGTTTTAATTTGGTTTTGAACATGTCTTACTAATGTAGGCCAGGCTTTCTTCTATCTCGTAATCCTCCTGCCTCATCCTTAGACTGCTAGCTACAAACTTGAAATACTTCCTGCCACATCCTCCTGGGATTACATACAAGTGCCAATACAGCCATTTTAATTATGTAGTGGAAATGAAACAGCAGTGATTAAAAGAGAACGCGATTCTGTGTTTTCACTGTTTCAAAAAGCTAAAGTGGGACTGGACAAAGTGCCTGCCATGCAGGCGTGATGACCTGAATTTGGGTTCCTAGAGCCACACAAACGCTGAATGCAGCAATGTGTCTGTAATCCCTAGCCTGAAGTATAAAACAGTGAATAAGAGACCCTGAGTCAAACAAGCTCAAAGGCAAGGGGAAGGCAAGGACCTACTGTCTAGATTGTCCTCTGACCTCCACAAGCATGCTGTGACACATGCATCCTCCACCTCTCTCTCTCTCTCTCTCTCTCTCTCTCTCTCTCTCCCTCTCTTACATACGCACAGAAAATAATAGAAAACATTTAGGTAATAGTTTGAGTTTAGAGCTTAGCTTTAATCTTACTTGGAGCATTTAGCAGGATTCTGGATATCAACAGTATAATAGTCTGGGTAGATAATTTAAAACTACAGGAAAAAGGACTGGCACTATATCTTGGAGGTAGCACACTTGTCTGTCCTGCACGAGGCCCTGGGTTTAGTCCCCAGCACTCTTTAAGGCAGTAATCAAATTACAACGAACCACACTAGAAAGAGTGTACTGAGGAGTGTCTCTGTTATCTGTTGTGGTGTTGTCTGGGAAGCTGGGTGGTTGCATAGTTCAGTATGGACTGTAAAATTGACCTGGGTTCATTTTTTGAACTCACCATAATACATACAATAATGTAATCACCATCTGTTGGGCATATTGTGTACCTGCTAAGTAATTTATTTTTGTTATCTCAGTTTTTCTTGATACTGTAAGTTAAGTTTAGGCTCTTCATTTTTCTGTTAGAAAACTAAAGCTAAGAGCAATTAAATATAAAATCCCATTACAGTCTGAGGTCTGTTTCTATGGTGTTTTTTTTTCCCCCTTTCTATTATATAATGGAATTGCCTTTTTTTCTCTAGCTAGTCCCCCAGGTTTCCTAGAGTTGCCTCCTGTGGGCACAAGTTCTCTGCTTGGAGATGTAATTGTGAATTATATTTAAGAAAATGTTTGAGAAGGCCATTACCTTGTCACTTTATCTGTCATCACAATATATCCTTCCATTGATGCCACATAACTTACATAAACTCATAGCCTGAGTTTAATATATAGTTTGATGGTAGAGAATAGCGACGAGAAAGAGCACTTCATAGACTACTTGGGTAGCTTATATTTCATCAGTTCCTGATATCTTTTCTTCCTAAAGTTTTCAAGGTTGGACATTAAGGGCATTTCATCCCTTCAACCCATTTATCTCTTTTCCTCCTGGTTTTCCTTTTTTGCAGGGTGTGAATTCTTACGCAAATGGAGCATATGGTCCCCCATACCCTCCAGGCCCTGCAGCAAGCAGTGCCTCATACTCTGGGGCTTATTATGTACCTGGGTATACTCAGAGCAATTACTCCACAGAAGTTCCAAGCACTTACCGGTCACCTGGGAACAGCCCAACCCCAGTTTCCCGTTGGGTATATTCCCAGCAGGACTGTCCAACAGAAGCACCTCCTCTGAGGAGTCAGGTTCCAGGATATCCTGCCTCCCAGGTAAGCAGTTTCCTTTCAGGGAGAAATATTTCTACTTCCTGCATTGTAAACAGAAAGTAGAGCCCTCCACACTCCAATTCTCATGAGGCAGAGGCAGGCAAATCCCTTTGATTTCAAGATCATCCAAGGCTACAATAGTGTGGCCTTGTCTCAAAAATAAAAAAGAAAGCACTGTAGATGTTCAGAGTTTTGTTTTGTTTTTTTAAAGCGAGGGAAGGGTCTTTTATGTTGATGCCTAAATTGAATTTGGCTGAAGGTACCTTAAAAATGTCACAATCATAATTGTTTTAAATCCTAACTTATATTTATTATTTGTGTGCATGATGTGAGTTGTGGGAGTTGACACACATGTACCACAGCCATGTGTAGAGGTCAAAGGACAGCTCTGTGGTGTGTTTCTCTTTTCACCTTCTGTGGGTTCCAGGGATCAAACTCAGGTCCCCAGACTTCCACAGCAAGTACCTTTACCTGCTGAGCCATCTCTCCAGCCCAAAATTTATTATTTCTTTTTCTTTTTCTCTCTCTTTCTCTTCCTTCCTTTCCTTTCCTTTCCTTTCCTTTCCTTTCCTTTCCTTTCCTTTCCTTCTTCTCCTCCTCCTCCTCCTCCTCTTCTTCCTCTTCTTCTTCCTGTTCCTCTTCTTCTTCTTCTTTTTTTTTTTTTGAGACCAGATCTCAATATGTAGCCCTGGGCACCTGGAACTCCCTGTACAGACCTGACTGGCCTCAAACTCACAGCAAATGGCCTACCACCACCGTACCTGGCTCCTCTTTTGTCCTCCTGTATTTTCATTATTTTTAATTACATGGGTGTGTGCATGTGTGCACGCATGACTGTGTATGCACATACATGAATGCAGGTACTCACAAAGACCAGAGGTGTGAGAACCCCAGGAACTGGAGTGATGGGTTTAGGAACCACTTGATATGGCATCTTGGACTTGAACTTGCGATCCTCTAGAAGAGCAGTTTGTGCTCTTAATCACTGAGACATATTTCCAGCCCCCATGAAATTTCTGTAATAAAATAAATCTTTAGTTGTTGCTTGACACTTTCCCTAACTTAATCTTTTCCAACACTGTTAGGTGTACAGTAATAAGCTATGAATATGCCATGCTTATTGTTTCAAGAAGAGTTCTATTGTTCTGTGTTATAGCGTATGGATTTATCTGTCTGTAATGTTTTTGGAAAATACATGCTTCGCCAAGTGAATTTTAAGTCTTACTCCCAAGTCTTTCTCCAGCTCTGTTCTTTGTGCTTTGGAAGTCAGATTTTCTCAGGTGTGGAGAATTTTTGGTAACTGATTAATGAGTTACTAACAGGTCAGGACCTGTTTATACTATTTTTATTACTTTTTAAACTCTTTGTTTTCTAAGTAGTAACCAAACAGTATACATTTTTTTTTTCCTCCAATCTAGAACCCTGGAATGACACTGCCCCATTATCCTTATGGAGATGGCAACCGCACTGTGCCACAGTCAGCAGGGACTGTACGGCCTCAAGATGATGCATGGGCTTCTGGTGCTTATGGGATGGGCCCCCGTTACCCCTGGCCTTCAGCTGCACCCTCAGCACCCCCTGGCAATCTCTACATGACGGAAAGTGCTTCACCATGGCCTGGCAACAGTTCTCCTCAGCCACCCCCTTCACCACCACCCCAACAACCTAAGGTAAGAGACCTTCTAAATGCTGTTCTTTTGATCTCTAGGTAATTAAGAGTGCACAAGATAACACTTCTGTATTGGTTTGTGTTGAATGAAAAAACTTGGTTTGAGGATTTTTTTGTTGTTGTTCTTACCTGATTTTGTACTCTCATTATTTTTTATGTATATGGATGTATTGGCTGCCTGTATCACTATGCGCCATGTGTGTGCCTAGTAACCTTGGAGGCCAGATCCCCTGGAACTAGAGTTACAGACAGTTATGAGCTACCTTCTGGCTATTCAGAATCTAATTTGGGTCCTCTGGATATCTTAAAAAAAAAAGAAAAGAAAAGAAAAATTCTTATATTCTGCTGTGATACTGTCTGAATATTAAACAGAATCAAGCACTTTATTTTACAGCCTCAAATGATATGTGGAAAAAGATGTAAAACAATGTGAAGTAGCACACATTGGCTTGTGTGGAGTTGTTTACATAAGCCACAGACAATACTGTCTGCTTTAGGCTATGCTTCAGAGGCTTCTACTATTTAAGGAGGAAAACTAATGATTAGATCAATGGATGAATTGTGAGTTAGTAAGATCGACTGTGAAGTAGTCACAAGAATGACATGCATTGACGTAGATTCCAGCCATCATATGTAGGCATTCTGTGCCTTTTTCTTAAAAGAGTTCTCCCTTTTATCTCCTTAACAGTGTTCGCTTGATGATTAAGGTGGGAGCCAGTTTTATTTGTGTGAAAGTACTTTTCAAGTAGCTTCCTGGTCAGTGAAAGATGTGTATCTGACCTTGATGCCTGCTTACTAAAACAGCTTTTTTTCCTTTCTGTCTTCCTGTTTCAAGGATTCCTCATACTCCTATAACCAGTCCGGTCAAGGCATGAACAGGCACAACTTCCCTTGCAGTGTCCATCAGTATGAGTCTTCGGGAACAATGAACAATGATAATTCAGACCTTTTGGATTCTCAAGTCCAGTATAGTGCTGAGCCTCAGTTGTATGGTAATGCCGCCAGTGAACATCCCAGCAGTCAAGTTCCGAGTAATAATCTCTCTGAAGAGTGTTTCTCTACAGATGAAGGCACTCCTCCAAGTATTAAAAAGATCATCCATGTGCTGGAGAAGGTCCAGTATCTTGAACAGGAAGTAGAAGAGTTTGTTGGAAAAAAGACAGACAAAGCTTACTGGCTTCTGGAAGAAATGCTGACAAAGGAACTTTTAGAACTGGATTCTGTGGAAACTGGAGGCCAGGACTCTGTTCGTCAGGCCAGGAAAGAAGCTGTTTGTAAGATCCAGGCCATACTGGAAAAATTAGAAAAGAAGGGATTATGAAATAATGTGGAATGAAGGGGTAAGCCTGTTATTAATTTGGCCAAAGAACTCTTTAATTTGGTTCATTACTATCTTTGTAAAGCCTGTTATGACAAGAAGCAACACATTCCAGCTTTCTTCTGACCTAAAACATGAAAGGAGGGGAAAAAAGGGGAAGCTGGCAGAGGAATGGAAGAATACCAGCTACAAGATTCTTTTCAGCTTTCGGGTGACTGAACACAGTAAGAACCTGGAACCATCAGCTTTGCCAAGTAGACCCTCTCCTCACTTCATGGATGTCTATAGGCTGCTTCTCATCAAACCACAGGAGGGAATAGACACTATTAACAGGTTTTCAAAGACATGTCTGGGACACACAGGCTGTTTTGTAAGCATCTGGACTGTCACATTTTTGTGCATTGTGGCTGCATATACTTCATGTGTATATTCTAGCTTAGACTCTTGGACCTCTGTTTTGTTTTGTTATTTGCAGGTCACAAATGTAATACTATTCTACTTCTTGGTACATTTTGTAGTAATATGTTTAATATAATCAAATTGTCAGCCAGATAGATGGGCAATTCTAAACAAATTCATATCCTTTTACCACTTGAAAATATTGCAGTGTGTAGTGGGCTCCTGAAGTCTGTCATTTGTCTCCCTTTTTGTGTAGCATGTTATGTTAGAGTTCTTCCCACTTCTGCTCTTCATAGTAGTCGGGAATGTGACTTTGGAAATTACATTAACATAAGAATGAAAATGTTTGTAAATTCTTTGCTTTTTTGTTGTGTTTGGATAAAGATCCACTTTGAAATTGCTTTTTTTAAAAACAGTTTCTTTTGGCTATTGCTGCTTCTGTAGAGAGCCTTATGATAAAAACATGAAAACTTAAATGCCACAGTTAGTATAAATAGTGACTGCAAAAAGTAACAAATATTATCTACTGATACCATTCTCCGTTTAATAGTTCCTGTGGGGCAAATTTGAGCTCAGTTGCTAGAAGGAAAAGGAGATTCATGCTCAGGGAATGGAGTCAGCCATAGCTAAAGTGAAAAATGCATTATTTTCTTTTCATTGAAATTTGGTCGTTCTTTCATAGAATAAATTGCATAGAATTGCCTGTTTCCTAAGAAAGATATTATTTATTATTAATAACAGTCAGTTTAGAGCCAAGTTTAAGAAAGGGGCCTTTCTTGGTTATCTTTATATGTTATTATACAGAGACAGGTAAATAATTTTCCTTGAAGCCTAAAGTGAGGTCTAGCATACAGTATCTGTATCTAGCATACAGAAACTGCTTTTGCAACAAAAGCAGTTTCTTAGTAAAATATCAAAGTGATACTTTTTTTAGACAACAGACCTTTATATTAGTGATATTAAACCTATAGCCATCCCCTCTACTCAAAAGAACCAAACCAATGCCAACACAGGATGAGAAGAAATGTAGTAAAATTACTGTCCAGGGGCTGAAGATGTGCCTCAGAGGAGTGTTTGCCTAACGTGAAGTCCTGGGTCAAATCCCCAGTGTTGCATAAAACAGGTATAGTGTAATACTTGTCTCAGCATCTGGGAGGCGGGAAGAAAGAACTGTGGCTTCTGGGTTTATATTTTTAATTATAACGATATTCAGGAGAGGTACAAACTCAGAACTTAAAGATATAAATCATGTTAATTGATTCCAAATGGCCAGTATCGAAGAAAAAGACATTGGTGACCTGTCTTTGAAAATGTAATGAATCTAAAAAGGAAAATAGTACTTATGATTTGTAAAATTTGTTTGACTTTTGACTTGAACTTGATTTGAAACTGAAACAATTTTCTTTTGAAATTTTACATCTAGACTTTTTTAAGGTGTCTAAATTTATATTACTTTGGGGATCATTTTTGTCAAAATCTTGAATAAAGTTACCTATACCTGGCATGATAAACACAGCTGTTTTCTCCCTAGCACCTCTGTTCAATGTGAACGTTTAACAAATCAGCCCCAGTGAAGTTCCTAGAGCCTGGGTTCTCTTTGTCTCTACCTACTGGTGTTGCTTGTTTCAGTTGCTTTTAAAGAATGAGTTTTATAAAAACAAAAACAGAAACAAAAGAAGCCAACAAAAGGAATGGGGTTTGAAAATACTGCTGTAGTTAGTTGACATAAATAGTAACCTTAGAGTTAACCAGATTTTTTTTACATTGGAGGGTAGAGATTTAAGTTGTTCTCGAAGGAAAGCCTTGTGAGGGTAATAGCTGATAGAGCTTTCTTCTCTTTTTCATCCTTGACTTTTTTTTTTTAAATCCTTTTTTGAAAGTCATGAGTTTAGGGCAGTTTAGTATCTCAGCAGGTAAAGGTACTATCACCAAACCTGAGCACCTGACTTGAATGCCTCAAGGACCCACTTGGGGAAAAGGAGAGGCCTGATTGATTTTCCTCTGGCTTCCATGTGCATACCCTAGCATGCCCCGCTCCCATACTCAAAAATAAATAAGTATAGAAAAAAAATTGAAGTTCTGAGTTTAATGTGTCAAATCTATAGAAAACAGCATTCTCCTGGTCTCACTTTTTTTTATTCTTCAAGAGTAACCACTTAAGGTTCTTAGATTTTTTAGTTTTTGTGTTTTCCTTTTATGTATGTGGTATGTGTGTGTGTGTGTGTGTGATTGCCTGTTGCCCTTGGATGCCAGAAGAAGGCATCCGATCCTTTGAAACAAGAATTAGAGTTATGAGGCACCATCTGAATACTGGGAATTGAACCAGGACCTCTGCAAGAGCAGTAAGTGCCCTTAACTGTTTGCCAACTCTGACACTGAAAGCAACCACCTTCCATTGTAAGATACCACTTTTGAAATGTATTGCTGGTTATTAAGTGGCACATTGTGTCCTTTTCTCTCAATCTTAGAGTTCGGTTGTTTAGTGAGACAGTTCCATGCAGTGCAGATTGGCTTTGAACGTCACGTAGTGTTGGAACGTGCTCTTGTGCCTCAGCCTGCCGAAATTAAAGGCATCTTCTGCACCGTCCTCCTTTTCTATCTAGGGGATGATGACAGGTGTTTCTTTTTCTTCCCTCTCACATACACATATGCTCAGTCTCTTCCTCCCCACTTCTGAATATAGTTACATAGTCATTTAACCAGAGCTCAGTCCTGGGGTGAGTGGTGATTTCTTGAACAGCTTGTTTTCCCTTGGATGCTTATGTCCTTAATGATTCATTTGACCTCTAAGTATTTTCTCAAGATCTGTATATTATTTCATTAGTTTCAGATTCCTGAGGAAGTCTGCTGGAGCTTTCTTCTATATGGAGAATTCCCTTTGCCTCTCATTTTCCTGTTGTGTGTGGTGTTGGTTTGCTTTTGTTGTTTGGTTGGTTCATTCTTCCTTTCTTAGCTTATTTCAGGAGACACATTTTCAGTCGCTTCCTGGAAAAGATTGCGTGGAAAGTGTTTGATTTTATAGCTTGTCTAATTTAAAACGTCAGTCCTACCACACATTGGCGTGATAGTTTATTAGATGAGTATAAATACTAGGAAATGGTTATTTTAAGAATTGTAGATTGTTCTGTTGTCTCACAGTTTGCAGAGTTTAGTTTCTAGAATTACTTTTGAGACGTGTACCACCGTGGTTATTTGCATAGGCCCATTTGAGAGAGGGCAGCTTCATACGTAGCCTAGGCTGACATCAGGATCAGTAAGTGGCCAGTGATGGCCTTGAACTTGGGATTTTCCTATCTCTAGCTCTCAAGTACTGGGTTTGCAAGTTGATGTGACTGTTTTTTGTTTTTTAATGGGGTTCTGAGGAACAAACCCAGTACCTCATGAATTTAGCCAAACATTCTGCCAACAGAGCTACATGTTCAGCTCTAGAAAACGTGGTTTTTTAAAGGGAGTTTTATTTTTGTTTGTGCATGTGTGTTGTTTTGTTTCTTGTTTATTTTTTGTTTTTTGTTTTTTTTTTTTTTTTTTTTTGAGGCAGGGTTTCTCTGTGTAACCTTGGCTGTCCTGGACTTGCTTTGTAGACCAAGCTGTCCTCAAACTCACAGAGAATCACCTGCCTCTGCCTCCAAAAGTGCTAGGATTAAAGGTATGTGCCATCTCACCAGCTTTAGCTTATGACTTTAAATTTTTTTTGTTTTTGTTGTTATGGAATTTAGCAGTTAGCTTTGGTGTGAGCCTATATTTATTAACTTAGGGGCATATTCATTTTGTAAATCATGCCTTTGCATCATATGATATTTTCTTGATTTTTATTTGGCTTAAGTTCCTATCTAGGACTACCTTTAACAGAATCACTACCCTATCCTCCCCCCCCCCTTTTTTTTTATGAGGCAAGGTAGGTTGTCCTGCTGTCCTGGAACTCTTATGTGTAGACCAGGCTGGCCTCCAGCTCACAGAGATCTGCCTGCCTCTGCTTTCTGAGTGCTGGGATTAAAGGTGGGCACCACTCTGCCCAGCTTGCACAACTGTGTGGTTAAATACCTTCCATATTGAGGCTATTAATTTCTTCTTGAATTACAGACTTCCTCCAATGTTGCCTTTTCTTTTAAAGTTCTCATTTTTTTTTTTTTTTATCATTTTAGAGGTATTTCTCAAAGTCTGTTCTTAGAAGCTGGTACAGTCCACTCACTCCAAACTTCCTCCTTGGTTACAGCCTTCTCAGCAAGCAACATGTTCATGTCACTATTTCCGGGACCTCGGTAGACCTTTCCCCAGTGTTCTTGGGAGAGTCACCCCTCACTGCATTGGACCCACTGCATGGGCTTGTTTGCATGGGATGGTTATACAGAGAGAGGGTAGCCATCCTCTGTGATGGGCTGGTGGCCGGCTCTACAATCAGTCACTAACCAGAGGACGTGGCTCCCAGAGTGCTGTCTGCATCAGGTTGCTCAGAGTCCCGGGAATGAAGCAGCTAGTAATTGGAGCAGCATACTTGAGCACAGCCCACTGGCCAGTGTCCTTGTTAGACAGTGCTGACATTAACAGGGCTTTTGATAGCAACAATGGCACAAATTGCCAGCAGCAGCTTTCCCACGTCTCTAGTGATACGTAATGAAAATACTTCTAAGAGACTAGAATTTTTCTGGATCTCACAGCCAGAGTAAATATACCTCAGGTTTACTTATGACTGCTTTCTTACTGTGCACTCAACGCCTGTTTGTTTAATCTGCCTTTAAGCTTGTTGTTGTGACCACCAGCCTTCATTGCCTTGGGCTTCCCATACCACCTAAGCATACAACAATGCACAGCTATAATTTTTAAGTTATATACTATTCCATGCCCCTGGCCCATAGGAATGGATGTTGTTTGTATGTGTATTATGATGATTATTTGCCAGAAACAGCAAATAGGCTGAAAGTGGTTTTGTAAAATGAATATCCACCATAAGTGCTAGAAAGTAGCATTGAGATATTGTGTGTTTGTTATCTGGGTTAGTTGGGGGTCAACTGGGAATCAGTGGTTCATTCTTTCCCGATGTGATGCTTTGCTTTCTTTATTGTTCAATAAGTGAACAAAGCCCATTGTTACACACACAGGACAGGAAAAGACAGAACAAGACAATACTCGCAGGCAAATAAATTATAACATGAATCAAGAGCAAAGCTACTGTGTGGACCCCTCTCTGGGTAGTGCAGAAAGTGAGTTTCGTTTTTGTTTAAAGGCAGGTCTTGCTGGAATACCTAATCCTCCTATGTAAGGCTCCTATCAAATGGCTAGGATTACTGGCCTACACCATCCCTGGCTGGTTGTGGGCTTTCCAACATTTTATTACAATGAAAACCCAAAACTACTAGAAAATTCTTGTGCCTAGGGAGATGGTTCAGCTGGTAAAGTTTACATGTGTTTGGCCTGTTTTGATCTCTAGTTCTTTTATAATGTGCACCTGCGCCCTAACACTGGCAAGGCAGAGAGAGGAGGATCCCTGGGACTCATTACCCAGCAAGTCCTGCCAAATCAATAAGCTCCAGGTTCAGTCAGAAAGGCAGAGGCAAGGGGATCTATGAGTTCAATGCCACCCTGATCTACAAAGCAGTTCCAGGACAGCCAAAGCTACATAGACTCTTCCAATAGGTTGGTTCAAGGGCCCAAACTCAAGACATCAGGCTTTTACCCCCTGAGCCATCCTGACTGATCACACAACTTTTTTCTTTTCAGTTTTTATTTTGAGATAACTGCAGACCCACATGCAGGGTTTCTATTTTAATTGTTTATTTTTGAGACTGTGACTTTATTACAATATTTCTCCCTTCCCTTTCCCCTCTCATCCTCCATTCCCATATGCACTTCCTTTTCTCTTTTAAACTCATGGCCTTTTTCATCAACCGTTATTGCGTGTGTGTGTGTGTGTGTGTGTGTGACTGTGTGTGTTGTGTGCACGCGCGCGCAATTGTATACATGTTCCTCACACTAACCTATTGAGTTCATAAAATGATGTTTGTATGAATGCTTTCAGGACTGACCATTTGGCACTGGACAAACAGTTGATGTGTTCTTTCTTGTGAAGGACCCCCTCTCCCAGTCCCAGCTTTCCTCAGTTACCCATAATTCTTTGTGGAATTCTCCCCAAACAGTCTGGTGCTGCATGCAGTTTTCATAAATAATACAGCTAGCTCAGTAGTTGATTGCTCAGCTACTGCTAGCTCAGTAGTTGATTGCAAGTGTTGCTCTTATGTAGGATCTGGGTTCAATTTCCAGAACCCACAGCAGGCTGGTCACAAACACCTGTAACTCCAGTTCTAGAGCATCCATTGCACCAAGAGGACACCTGCGCCTAAATACATATCTCACACACATACACAGGAACTAAAAAATAAGGCACATGATACAGGGTCTGGAGAGCTGGCTCTGTGGTTAAGAATGCATCGTGTTCTTCCAGAAGATTTGAGTTCAGTTCTCAGAACTCATATCAGGCAGCTCACAACTTCCTGTAACTGTAGGCCCATAGCATGCAGCGCCTATTCTAGATACCAAGAACACTGTATTCAAGTACACATTCCTCCCCCCAACATATGCACATATTGAAAAATAAAATCCCAATGATAGAGATGTCATGTACCTTTTACACAGTTTCTTCTGTTGGCAACAGGTGGCAAACTTTGCTGTGACCAGCTTGGAACTCACTGTAACCAGGCTAGCCGCAAACTTTCAGTGATCCTCTTGAGTGTCTTGAGTGCTAGGATTGAAGTCATGTACCACTCACTATTGGTGGCCGTATTTTGCCCATTTTTAAACTGGATTTATTAACAAACTTTAAAAATGGTTCCCCTTTTTAGAAAATCCTGTTGATACACAGATTGTATATTCCAAAATACATCTAACCCAATTCCATTGCATTAACATCTTTATGGGTTAATATATTTATAATGGCCACCTGTGGTATTTACCTGATAATCTTTTTATTGTTTTTTAAATTTTTATTATTAGCTACATTCTATTAACTCTGTATCCCAGCTGTATCCCACTCCCTCATTTCCTCCCAATCCCATCTTCCCTCCCTCATCTCTTCCCTGCCCCTTTCCAAGTCCACTGATAGGGGAGGACCTCCTCCCCTTTCATCTGACCTTTTTATTTCTTTTGTGGTTATTTTGAGACAGGATTTCTCTGTGTAGCCTTGGTTGTCCTGGACTCACTTTGTAGAGCAGGCTGGCCTCGAACTCAAGAAATCCTTCTGTCTCTGCCTCCCTGAGTGCTGGGATTACAGGTGTGCGCCGTTGCACAGGGCTGCTTCTTCTTTGTTTCTTTCAAGATTCCATGCAGCGTATCATATTCCATGTACTCGTCATGTCTCCTTCGGGATGTCTTAGCTGTGCTATTTCTCTGGCTTTACTTGTTTTTGATGATCATAACAGTCTGAGAACTACTGTCTTATATTTTTGTAGATTGGCCTTCCATTGGTACTTCTCTGATATGGTCCTAATTAGAGTGGGGCTATGAGTTTGGGGGAGAAAAGACAGCGATGGCTTGCCCTTATCACTCTTATCACGATATATATGTGTGTGTGAGGCAGTATGCATATAATTATATACATATACTATATATGTTAGATAGTATATGTACTATCAATGTGACACCGTAGATATTGACCACCTTAATTACAGGCTAGAATAGTAACGGTCAGATTTCCACCCTGTAAGGCACTCTTTTAAAATGTTTTTCTTCATCTTGTAAACATATCTGACTTACTTTATAAGCTCATAAGTTGAAAATTCTGTAAGTCAAAATGCATTGAGGGCCAGAGAGATGGCTCAGCAGGTAAAGGGGCTTGCTGTTTAGCCTGACAACCTGAGTTCAGTCCCCATAATCCACATAAAGGTGAGTCTTGGTTACTTTTCTATTGCTGTGATAAGATATCATGACCAAGGCAACCTATAGAAGAAAGGGCTTATTTGGGACTTACAGTTTCAGAGGGTTAGAGCTTATGACCCATCATGCCAGGGAGTGTGGCGGCAGCTGAGCAGGCACAGCCTAGCGCAGTATCTGACCTAGAAGCACATTACTCGCTAGAAGCACAAGGTAGAGAGCTAAAACTGGGAACAGCCTAGGCTTTTCATACAAGGCCTGCCTCCAGCGACACACCTCCTCCAACAAGGCCACACTGCCCAGTTCTTCCCAAACAATTTCACCAAGTGGTGACCAAGTATTCAAGGATATGAGCTGAGGGAGCTATTTTCATTGGTGCTACCATAAGGTGTAAGGAGAGAACTGACTCCCACAGGCTGGCCTCTGAACTACACATACGTGCTGTGTTATGCATATCTATACACAATAAATAAATGTTTAAAATAGTGAAGTAAATGAAATATGGCTTATTCTGGAGAAAGAAATAGGAATTAAATTTGATATCTAGCAGTTATTCCAACATTGGGTATAAATCTCTTTAGGCACCTTACTAGCTGCTAATGTTACATTTTGGTCTAGATCATGGGTTAGCAACTACCTAAGACCAAATTTTAACTCCCCATCTCTGTGAGTTTCCATAATGTTTCTGCTGCTTTTGTGTTGCTAGCAGGCCAGTGGATTACCTGCAATAAATTACTTGCAGCCAAAGGAACCAAAATATTTACCTGATTTCTGCATTAGAATATTGAAAGGGGAAAAAATTAGAGGCATGTTTCACAGTTTACACACACACACAAACTGAAGACACAGCTCAGTGGTTAAGAACACTGTTGCAGAATATTTGATCCCACTATGAACCCCAAGATTGTGCACTGGGAAAACCTGTTTCTAGTTGTGGTTTATGTATGTGGCTGAATACCTAGCACACACCCTTATTCCAAGAGCTTTCTGTAAACAGGATTAAAATGTTAACCCTAGGTCAAGAGATGGAGCAAGCAACCAGTTGACAGGAAGTGAACATAACTAAACACAGGAAGGAGAGACATGGAGTTGAAGGGTATTCAAAGCATCGTGAAGAGAGAGGAGGGCCCTTTTCCTTCTGGGATGTCCAGAAGGCTGTGTGCTTTCTCTGCCTCTCTGAGCTAGCAGGTTTTCACCCTAGCATCTGGCTCCTGAGTCTTTATTGGTAAAACAGAACGACTGGGATTTTCTTTCTTTATAACAACAGAACAGTTGCTCATGGAAAGGCCTGGGTGGGGTTTAACTCACATAACTCACTCCAGGAAGCTCACAACCACAACAGCCTGTAACTCCAGCTCTCTGGCCTTTGTGTGCACTCACATATACATACATATAAGTAAAAAATAATGAAAATAAATACTTAACAAAAAGATTTAAACATAACCTATCAGTAGCCAGAAAAAAATTAAGTGAGCTTTTATTTATGAGAGCTATCATTAATGTAACTAGCTACTTCTATAGCCTTTGGGGGAACCTAAAATTTATTTAGTTTGAGGCAGTGTTTCTCAAAGTACAGATACAAACTACTTGGAGCTAGATCATTTGGAGCACTTAAAAGTACTGATTCTAAATACACATATACATCAGCTTCTTGGATCCTGCCAAGTACCTACTGAAAGAGGACTTCTGATATATACCTGGATATTTGATTACTACCAATGTATGTAGAGCCTGCAACTTTTATAGCATTCACTAAGGTAAAGGTACCTGCTAGCCTGTTATCTCTCTTGATAGGACTATGAACTCCTTCAGGTACACATTGTGCTAACTACTTTTGTGTTCCAAGTTCAGAGTAGGCACAAGAAATGACTAGAGTTCATGGGGGTTGGGGTAGGGGGGGGGCCTGGCCAATGGAGATTTTGGAGATGCTTCCAAGAGTCACAAAAGCAGAACTATTTTCATGAAACTAATAGGGATCGCAGGTTCAAAGTCATGGTCATCTTTGGCTACATAGTGAGTTGGGGGCTAGCCTGGGATACCTACGATCCGATCTCAAAAGAAAATAATAAATTACTTTAAAACTCAAGCAATAACAAAACTCACAGGTCCAAGATAGACTGATGAATTTCAATGCTATCAGGTTATGAAAATTTTATTCATATGTTTTCAGATTCCAAATCGCAACTTACTATTGGAAGTATCACTTTGGGGGCTAGGTGTATATATAGCTCAGAGGCAGAGCTCTTGCCTATGATACCCAAGGCTCTGAACTTGATCTCTGGTACTAAAGGGGGAAAAAGAAAAGAAAGAAAGAAAAGACCTGAAGAGCTGTCCCAGCAGTTACGAGCATTTGTTGCTCTTGCAGAGGACAAGGGTTTGGCTCCCAGCATCAAAGTTACAATCGCCTGCAAATCCAGAGCCCGGGGATCTGATTATCTCCTGACCTACACAGATGGCAGGCACACACACATGATATACATACAGGCAGGGAAAACATATATACAAAGTAAAATAAATGCGAAACGTTTTTTAAGCCCCAGGGTTAATGACACCCACACATACACATTGGGGCTCCCGCTGTGCCCTAAAGTAACCACCTAAGCATATACAATCTCTCGAGCCCGGACGTGAGTTTGATCCCCAGGACCATTACGGTGAAAGGAAAACTGACTTCTGTAAGTTGTCCTCTGACCTCTACACATGTAGCGGCACATGCGTGCCACACACACATTATAAATGTCAAGATTTTTAAAGGCTGGAGGCCAGTATGAGGCTATCTAACAAGACCATCTCAAAGCAAAGCAAAAGACACCGCGCAGGAAGGGTATTCCGTAAACGTGCGTATATTTGTGTGTAGCTGTTGATTTGCAGAAAGTATGTGATAAAAGTCCACGTTCAGTTCCTTCTCGGTTTCTGAAAAAATTTTCGAGACTTTGCCTTACAATCCAGTTAGAAAACAGTACAGCATCTTGTTTTTCCATCCTATTTCACCTGCTAGTCAGGCGCGTCCCCAGTAAGCCGCATCTTAGCCCTGCCAGTCTCCAGAGTAGTGGGCTGGCGGGAATAGCCACCGCCTTCACGTTCCAGCATCTGGGGCAAACAGACCTCATTTTCTGCCTCTCGCAGCTTCCAGATCCCGCTACACTCACCTCGTACGCTTTCGGGGTAGCTTTCGGCAACCTCTCAACCCAAACAAAAGCGAGAGGCGGAGAGGAACCAACGCCCCAAACGACAAGCTTGGGGGCAATGCCAGCGCCCATGCTGCTCTCCAGCCTCCCTTCGATCCCCGCGTCCCGCCAGATGGTGCCAGGACCCACCAGGGGTCAGGGTGCCCGATTCCCCCCTCTGGGTAGCGCTGGGCCCTGGAATGGCACCTCCACGGCTCGCTCCCTCAAAGCCCCGCACCCGAGACCGCCCAGCGGGTGCCCATCCACTCCGCCAGCGCGTGGCCTGCGCGTGCCCGGGACGCGACGCCTGCCCGCCGGAGGAGCCACCTCTCGCGCGAGTCCCCGCACATCTCGCGACACTTCGGCGGGCCCAACTGAGCCTCAGGCCCTAACCCGGACGGGCAGACGCCTCCGGGAGCGCCGCACGCCGCCGCCGGAGCGCCGCGGGGCCCCGCGGTGCGGGATTGGGGCGCGGCCGCAGGCTCCGCCCGCCCGCTCGCCCGCCCCGCCCGGGTTGGGAGGTACGCCGCGGCCGGGGATGTGCCCCGGCTCCCTCCGAGAGGGCGGAGAGCGCGAGAGGCGGAGCTGACGAGCGAGTCCAGGTCTGCGCGGGGTCCTGGGCCGGGGCGAGCCGGGGTGGGGGAGTGCAGGCCGGACTCCGGTGTCGTCTGTACCCGGGGCCTCCGTAGGCCTCCGGGGCGTGAGGAGCGTAGACCCCGAACTCAAGCCCGGAGCTCCTAGTTGGAGCCGGTCGGGCGATGAGGGCAGGCCGGGGTGTCGCGGATAACGGGGAGGCCCCGGGAGCGTTTGTTCGTGAGCTCGGCTTTGCGGTCCGAGCGTGCCCTGGGCAGGGATGCTGCTCACCCATCGCCCACACGGAGCTTTAGGTTCTGCCTCTGTGTGCCTGATGCTTCAGTGTTGGATCGCTGGGAACTCGACGGTCATCCTTCGTGAAGGGGGCAGTTGAGGTCACTTGTTACTTTCCACCCGAAACTTGGGCGCTGCGTCTCCCCGGGCCGGTGCGCAGCTGTGGCTTGCAGGCAAAGTTTCTGTTCGAGATCGTTAAATGTGTCACAGTCCCTGTTGAAGCGCACTTGGAGAGTCAACTAAAACGGTTAAGTGACTCGTTCCATTTTCTACATTTTAAGATTCCAATAGTTATGTAAACGTGTAATAGAAATGTAGAATAAGGATCTGAAATCTACCTGTTATTACTATGTGGCACACTGGAAGTGGTAAATTTTCAACCTTTGCTGTGCTACGTTTTGGCTGAAAATTGTGGTAAAGTATCTTGTTGCAATCAGCTTTGACTGTGTTTTTTGAAATTTCTGGGTTAAAGAGCTTATTGTATGATTAAACCTTTTAGTTTTCGAAAGAGAATTGGGACCTCAGTGCAGAACGGTGGAGCTGAACATTTTGTTTCCCTCTCCAATTTTGTATTTGTTGTTTTGAATTATGTTACTTTAAAAATTTCTTGTTTTCGAGAATGGCTTCCAAAACCGTTTGTGTGTGTGTGTGTGAACATTTACAAGGCAAAACAAGTCAGATGGTTTTATTTTGTCTCCTAGAGCACGATGTCATCAGAGGAATCGCAGCAGGAGCAGCTGTCTCAGTCAGACCCGTCCCCATCACCAAACTCCTGTAGTTCCTTTGAGCTGCTAGACATGGGTGTTAGCAGCTCGTATGAACCAGTTTCTCCACATTGGTTTTATTGTAAGGTAACAGATTCTAAGGAGATATGGATTCCTTTCAACTCTGACGATTCACAACAGCTGGAAGAGGCACACGGCTCTGGTAGGAAGAAAACGGTTACTTTTAACAGATTCTAATCTCGCTCAAACTAAGAAGGAATGGCCCTTACTGTGATTGCTATTAAAATTAAATTTTAGAATTTTTCCATGGTCGTTCTTTTAAAACGTTTCTAAATTTCTGCATAATTTCCCAGTATTTTCTGTATTCTAGTCCGTGTCTTAGTTTTTACTCAGAATGAGAACCTATGTATATAGGGTTCGGTGTCACATTGCAGAATGAACTAACATGTCACTTGTTTTTGTTTTTCTTAAGTAACAATAGTGTTAGTTATGGTATGTCATCATGATTGTCATTAATTTACCTTTTGATCCCTGAAGCGAAAACTTCAGAAAAGGTTATGTATCTGTGTGAGTGTGTGGGTTTGTGTGTGTGTATGTAAGAGGTATTATTGTCTTACAAAGAGAAAAAAACTGTTCAGGTAATGTTTTTTGATTAAAATATAATTGGTTTGACATAAAGTAGTTCATGAAAAAGATATGAGAAAAGAAAAAGTTAGGAAATGAGTTCTGTTTATTTTAATATGTAGCCAAGTAGAAACTGTTTAGTTTCACATGATTTTTTGGACTGTAACTTACATTTGTGTTTTGGGAAAGTTATTGTGACATACTGTACTTTTCTCTTTTGCAATTCTTGATAGAAGATTGTAATGAGAGAGTAGTCCCCACGGATGGGGGCAGATATGATGTTCACTTAGGGGAGAGAATGCGCTATGCTGTGTACTGGGATGAGCTACCCTCAGAGGTGAGGCGGTGCACGTGGTTCTACAAGGGAGACAAAGACAGTAAATATGTTCCCTACTCAGAGAGCTTCAGCCAAGTTTTGGAGGTAATCCTCTGCTTTATTTTACTTACTGCTTTCTCTATTTTTTTCCCCTTTCATAATTTAGCATTTAAAAAATTCTTCTAACATATTATGTGAAACTTCCAGGAAAAGTTTGCATGCTTCTATGTCATGCTTAGTTTCAGAGTAAAGTTTTAATTTTAAAATTTAAGAGCTAGGTGAAGTGACACACACCTGAAATCCCAGTGTTGGGGAGGCAGAGGCAGGCGGATCTCTGTGAGTCTGAGGCCAGCCTGGTCTGCCAGGACAGCCAAGGCTACACAGAGAAACCCTGTGTGGAAAAACAAAACAAAACAAAAAAGAAAAGAAAAAAGAAAATTAAAATTTTATAGACATTGTATTATGTCTTCTAAATTTAAATGTAGCCAGGTAGTGGTGGTGCATGCCTTTAATCCTAGTACCCAGGAGGCAGAGGCAGGTGGATCTCCACAAGTTTGAGGGCCTACAGAGTGAGTTCCAGGACAGCCAGGGCTACAAAAACCCTGTCTCAAAAAACAAAAATAAATAAATAGATAAATAAATTAATTAATTAAAAATGTTTCTCTAATGGTAATTATTGTTGACATCTAAAATATGACAAAAGGCAATCTTTTGAAATAATTTTTAGAAGATTTTTGTTTGTTTTATTGAGATAGGGTGTCTTTGTAGTTCTGGCTGTCCTAGAGCTTGCTATGTATAGGCCAGGCTGGCCTCAAACTCAGACAGATCTGCCTTCCTCTGCCTCCTGAGTGCTAGAGCTAAAGGCGTGTATCATGATGCCTAGCAATTTAAATTTTTTTTCTTTTAATGAGTGTTTTACCTGCATGTACGTGCAGTGATGAAGGAGGTGAGGAGAAGGTGTGAAGCCCCTGGAGCTGGAGTTATGGATGGTTGTGAGCTGCCCTGTGGGCGCTGGGAATTAAACTCAGGTCGTTTACGAGAGCAGCAAATGCTCTTAATTCCTGAGCCCCAATTTGTATTATTTTTGCTCTGAGAAATACATTTTTCTTGAAATTGAAATAGATTGTTATTGACATACATGTCAGTATGAATAGTGGTAGAATTTAAAGTAGCATTTTTATTTGTTTTGTTTTTATTCAGTAATTTGTTTGTTTTTTGTTTGAGAAAGGGTATTTGTTTGGTTTGTTTCATTTTGTTTCTTGAGGGAGAGTCTCCCATACCTTAGATTGGCCTTTCACTTGACAGGTAGCTGAAGATGGCTTCAACTTCTGATATTCCTGCCTCTACCACTTTGCATGGTGGCATGCATCCCTACCCTTGGATTTACACTTTGGTAGTGATAGAATATGGGCCTTTTTGCATGCTACACATGCATTCTACTAATTCAGCTACATCTTTTTGAGACAGGATCTTGTTGTATATTTCAGGCTGGCCTGGGACTCAACTGTGTGGCCCAGGTTGGGCTCAGATTCATAGTAATACTCATGTTTTAGTCTCCCAAATGCTGGGTTTACTGCTACAGGCCACCACACATGGCTACTGATCACTGTAAAAGATTGTTGATGAGCTGGGGATACAGTTCAGTGGTAGACTGCCTGTCTAGTATGTGCAAGGTCCTGGATTCATTCTTCAGCACCAGTCTACCAGGAATTTTAAGATGACTTTGTTAAGTTGGAAATGATTTTTTATTGGAATTCATTAATAAATTAAGGTTTAAGAAAAAGTTGTTAGAAAGTTTAATATAGAATATTTTTTCTTTTAAGGAAACATACATGCTTGCTGTAACTCTGGATGAATGGAAAAAGAAACTAGAATCTCCAAACAGAGAAATTATTGTACTACACAACCCAAAGGTAAAGTGAAGTGTGTTGTGTATCACTAAGGAAAACAATGGATCTTTTGTTCTATGGACGGCACATAGAATAACCTTTGGCATAGCTCATATTGGACTCATTGTTACAAAAGTTATTAATGCATATAGTCACTATTTACTCCAGCTTGTACGTAAGAAGTTTCTATATGTTTGTGATGTATGTATTGTGTAGTGTGTCTGTGTGTGTTTGATTTGTATACAGTGTATGTGTGTATGTGGGCTTGCTTGTTGAAGTCAGAGGACAGATTTGAATGTCAGCTGTCCTAGGAAGACAGGACTTGTTCTTCATTGTTCTCTGATGCATACACGAGGCTAACTAGCTCACAAAAACCTGTCTCTGCCTCCAAGAATCCTGTGCTCTGCCTTCCATCTTAGCTTCAGAGTGCTGGGGTTAAGATTCATTGTGTCCAAAATTCATGAATTTTGGGCATTTTAACTCAGGTCCTACACTATGAAAGCAGTGAGTGCTTTACCCATGGAACCATCTTCCCAATTTTGCTTAGGGAAAATTATCAATACATTATGTAAGCATGTCTTTCATTTATAGGATTTATTTTTAAGAGAGTATCTCACAATATATAGCATTGGTTGGCTTTGAACTCACTGTATAGATCATACTAGCAATGTAGACCAAGCTAACCCAAACTCACAGAAATTCTTGCCTCTGCCTCCCAAGTGCTGGAATTAAAAGCATGCGCCCATCCCATCTATAGTATGTTATTAAAAGATCTGTTAGTCTGATACATTTTCAGGGCTCTCACTTTAGGCTATAGGAATTGCATGTCAAAGTTCCAGTTTAGGTTTAGTTATATGAAAGATGTGTTTCTGTCATTCACAGTGTATTGAATCACAAGGTAACGCAGACTATATTGCTCTAATCTTTTCTGTTTAAGCTCATGGTGCATTACCAGCCAGTGGCAGGGTCTGATGAATGGGGTTCAACATCCACTGAGCAAGGTCGACCAAGATCAGTAAAAAGAGGAGTTGAGAGTATCCCTGTTGATATCCACGGTGGTAATGTTAAGCATTTATTTTTCTTATGTTCTGACATTTGTTTATTCTTTTAAATTGTGGCTTTTTCCCTTTGGATTTGTGTCAGCCCTAACCTACCTGAGACCCTACAAAAGACAAAATTTAGATGAAGTGATGTTAGTTGTAATTAGAATGAGCCCACATAATGAAAGGACATTCTTCATCCTCAAAGTAACACAAATCCAAAGGGAAAAAACCAGCAAAGATTAATTTAAAATTTCAGCCTTTAAAAACATGATAGATATTATTATGATGATTGGTTAAAGTGGGATAATTAGATAAGAGAAATATGTCAATGATTGGTTGCCTGGATTTGGTTACTGTACTGTTGTTATTTGTAGGTACAGTCTTAGTTAATGCATGTATTGAAGGCTTAGAGAGGTATGTTGCATGAAACCTGGTGATGGAGTCGTTTTGCTTCCAGATAGTTCAGAAAAGTAAATATATGTGTGTTAACACATCCAAGAAGAAAGAGCATAGTAAAGTTCAATATGATTATTTTAAAAGTTGAATTTGTAGCTTGAGTGTGGTGACCCATGCCTATAATCCCAGCATTTGGGAGGTGGAGGCAAGAGGATCAGTTCAAGGTTAGTCTCCATTCAAGATCAGCTCAGGACAGGCCCTTTGTTAAAAGCACAACACTAAAACAGACCCATTTAGATCAGTGAAAAGTGCACGGAGTGAGGTGGGGGGTTCTCTTGTACTTTTGTTTATAGCTTATAGCTATTTTAAAATAGTTTTAAAACTTGAAAAACAACTTCAGAGGCTTGTTTAAGAATAATTATAATCCCAGCATTCATGATGCAGAGGCAGGTGGATTGCCAAGGCTAGCTTGGTTTACATAGTGAGTTTCAGGCCATCCAGAGCTACATAGTAAGACCCTGTCACCAAAAAATAAAGAAAAAAAAGTAGGAAGTAAAATTAATGTACTTTTACTAAGTAGTTAAATATATGATCTATTTTTATTTTAATTTTGTTATATTTATAATGTTTCTAATTTTTCTTTTTAATTTTATTTCTAGGGGAACCTTTACAAATAGATCACTTAGTGTTTGTAGTCCATGGGATTGGACCAGCTTGTGATCTCCGCTTTCGGAGCATTGTTCAATGTGGTAGGTTTGCAAAGCATGCAAGATCATTTGAGGAAAATTATCTCCTGTGAGGAGGCTCAAGCATTGTCTTTTAGTCTGTTGTCTTAACGTAAGAAGATTTGTAGAGCCAAGGATATTGCGAGGGAGTGGTGTTTCCCTGCTTAGACCTGAGCACTAGGAATTTCCAGAGACTTAATACTCTTAACTAGTGATCCATGAGTGAATAAGCCTATAATCCTGGGGAAACTGTTCAGTGATTTAAGCAGCCTATTTATAACCAAATTTAGAGAGAACCATATGGATGAGAGTTGAAGTAAATAATAGAAACTTATCATTGTGGTAATTCATAACACAATAAACTTCTTGATAAACCTCAAGCTTTAAGTCATGAATATAATTTAATTTGGAATATAGTATCTTCAAAGCTTGATGGTATTCAAAGTCTGTTAGATTTGGGAATTCCCTTCTACTGGTAATGTTTCTGAATAAACTAGAATTATGTTCTGTCAGATTAAGGTTGATGTGATAAGAATGTTGAACAACAGTTTATTTTTTTAAAAAATCTAATGTATTAGGGGTTGGGGAGATGGCCCAGCAATTAAGAACACTCATTGGCTGTTCTTTCAGAGGATCAAGGCTTGATTCCAGCACCCACATGCTGTGCTGGAGCCCACCGGCAGAGTCCAACAGTACCCAAGTTGGGAGTGAGGGTTGAAATAATTAAAACAAATCACACTACATACGGGATTGGCTCCAGAGGGCTGTCAGTAAGACTGCAGCATGGGTTTATTCCACAATTTTTTATAGACAAAGCAAAAACAAGTCACATCAATACAAAAAGTTTTCGGAACTTCCAAAACTACTTCCCTATAGCAGATACGGTCCAAGGTCACACATTTTAAGGAACTTGGAACAAGTTTTAAGGAACTTGGCAAAACTTCCTCTTTTCTGTCTCCAGGTGAAGGCCAGGGTGAAAACGTGTTTTTTTGATAAATAACAAAGCAGCTTGACAGATAAGCAGCTCTCTCTACAATGCTGGCTCACAAACTCTCTGAACACCAGTTCTAGAGGATCTGATGCCCTCCCCTGGCTATGCATATGGTACAGACGTACATGCAAAGCATACATGCATGAGTAAAATAAAAATTACTTTTTTTTTTTTTTTTTTTTTTTTGAGATAAGGTTTCATGATGTATCTCTGGCTGTCCTGGAACTCTTTCTGTAGCTCAGGCTGGCCTTGAACTCAAAGAGAGCTGGTTGCTTCTGCCTCCCAAGTTCTGGGATTAAAGGCATGTGCTACTACACCTGTGTAAAAATAATTTTAAAATATATAAAAATTAGTGGCTAATGGCTTTTAAAGCACAGGAAGTTCTAGCTTTCAAGCAGCTGTCTTCCCAGTTCACTAGCCTATTTCTATTCTAGGACTGTCTGTTTGTCCTTTCCTCTGTTTTTTTTTTTTTGTTTTGTTTTGTTTTTTTTTGTTTTTTTTTTTAGTTTTTTTGAAATGGGTTCTCACTGTATAGCCCTGGCTGGCCAGGACTAAATTATGAGGACCAGCCAGCTGCATTTCACAGAGTTCTGCCTGCATCTGCCTTGCAAGTGCTGGCATAGAAGGTCTGAGCTACCACTCCCTGCTGTCTTTTTATTTCACAATAAACTGCAACTATTTCTCTTTTAAAACTATTTTTAAATTTTAAAAAATTATATTTTCTTACTTATGTTTGTGTGTTGGCACAAATGTGACCCAACACATTTGTGGAGGTAAGAGGACAACTTGGGGAAGTCATTGTTCTCTTTGTACCACATGGGCCCACAGGTCTTCAGGCCTGGTGGCAAGCGCTGTTACTTTTGAGACTTTTGGCAGGATGAACTAGCTGACGCTATTTCTATTAAACACACGTGAGGAATCAAGCATAGGGAAACAGTAACAACTGGAGTTAGGACAACGATATAGGATGACTGCAAAACTTTTGACGTGGAGTCCAGGGATTTAAAAAGGGAAACCATTCCATTGACACAATTTTGACATCAGCTTTTTTGGTAAAATGTGTTGAATGATAAACCCAAGCTTATAGTAAATGAATATCTCCTAAGTAGATGTCTGAGTTTCTCTGAAGCTGGTTACCTTGATTCCATTCAGTGTGTTTTCTAAGGGTGTGTAGGCAGGGTGCTGCTTCGTGTTTTGGTGCATCCTGAGTCTGTATTAATTGCTTCACTGTTGATGCATAAGTTTATTTTCTTTTCTAGTTAATGATTTTCGAAGTGTTTCCTTGAACCTGCTACAGACACATTTTAAGAAAGCCCAAGAAAATCAGCAGATTGGAAGGGTAGAATTTCTTCCAGTCAACTGGCACAGTCCTTTGCATTCTACTGGAGTGGATATGTGAGTCCCTTATACCCTTGAATTGTTAACTATGATTGTAATATTTTCTGATTGTCATCATGCTTAATGACATTTCTGTTATAGCTGATTATGTATTAAAATTAGAAAATTAAAGATGGAAATTTTATTTAAATCCCATCAGAGAGATAGACAACTTGGGTCAATGACAAATCATTCATATTTAAAGCATAGGTAAGTAACTGAGCACATACACTACTATGCACAAATTAACTGATCACACCTCATTGTCCTGCTAGCCTTGGTGGTACATCTCTTTAATCCCAGCACTCAGGAGATAGAGGCAGGTGGAGGCAGATGGATCTCTCTGAGTTTGGGGCCAGCCTAGTATAAATATGAGTTCCAGAACAGTCAGGACTACATAGAGAGACTCTCTCTTAAAAACAAAGCAAACCAAAACAAAAAGATTAAGCTTCCCATAAAAGCAGTGAAAGACCCCAGCCTCACACTAAGTTAAACATAGCTAACGCCATTTTGTGGGACACCACTGTTTTGTAAAACTCTAAAGGCCAGATAAAAAACTAAAAAATCACTGAGAAATCCTAGCTGTGTCACCCACTTGGGATATCTGTGGTCAGGCTGCCCCAGTCATACTAAAAACAGTTTGTGTTAATCACTCTCATAGATATCTGTGAGACTGTTTCAGCTAAGATAGAGAAAAACAAAATAACAGGTGGCGGACCACATCAAGGGGTCATCCTACCCCCCCTTGACCACCCAGTTCCTGGAATCTTAGTGCCCCTGCCAAACTTTGACGCAAATTGTGGTCTCGTGTAAACGTACCAATCAGCCCCCTGTAACCATGCCCTCTCACTTCTGTACCAGTGCTTCTGCTCTAAAACCCTATAAAAACCCCAGTTTTTCCCCAAGGAGGCGCGCAAGGTCCTCCCGAGTGACCTTGCTGCCCGGAGTACTCGTGAATCAAAATAAAAGCCTCTTGCTGTTTGCATCCGAATGGACTCGTTGTTCTTTGGGAGGGGGTCTCTCTGATGGAAGATACCCTCCGGAGATCTTTCAGCAGCACCTTTCTGGTACTTCAACTTGATATTGTTTTTTCCTTGCCCTGTACTTCAACAGAATGCATACCAACCTCCTCATAGTCATTCTGTAAGACAGCCATGTCCTCAGTAGCTTCAGAATTTTCAGCATTAAGTAGGTTTTCTCTCTCTTGTTTGTGCTTTCTGTTTTGCAGAGTTGAGAATCAATCCATCCCAGGCAAGCAGTCTATTACAAAGCCATGTCCCAGCATCTCAGCATCAAGGTTTATTGATTGGTGAATGCTGCAGGATTAGCTCCTCCCAGCTCACATCCTCATTTTTTGGACAGGGTCTTACTGTGTAGCCTGTGCTGACTCTGAAGTTTTGATCTTCATGCCTTAGCTTCCCAGTACTGGGATTACTACATACATACAGCTGTACTAACATATATAGCTTCAATGTGGAGTTTTTATGATTTTACAGTTTTTTTCTATAATGGATCTGTGTTCTCATCCACATACCAGTGTACAAAGGTGTGCTTGGCATATATCAGATCAAATTTGTGGTTAAAAAAAAAAACCTGACTAGTTCTTAAATTTTTATGTCATCTTTGCACAGGAGGCATGCTAATCTTCTCTGTATTATTCTAATTTTAGTATATGTGCTACAGAAGCAACCACTGTATATATTTTGGAGATGTCTTATTAAGTGATAGTCAGTCCTTTATCTTTAGATATCTCTGGTTAAAAGAAAAGAATTGTCACTGATATGGTAGCACACAATTAATCACAGCACTTTGGAGGCAGAGGCAGGTGGATCTCTATGAGTTCAAGGCCAGCATGGTATACATAGTGAATTTCAGGACAAAACAAAAAAACCTCTTGAATATGGTATGTTTAAATATGTACAATTTATTCAGTACATCAGTTATTCAAAATGTACTGCTATGCATACTACATTTATACACAACATTCTCAAAAAAATAATTAACAAGTAATGATCAAGATATTTAGTTTGGTAGCAAATGTCTGTAACCCTGACATGTGGGAGGTATAAGTAGGACCAACAGTTCAAAGTCATCTTTAGCACACAGCAACTTTAAGGTGGTCAGTCTGGTCTGTATCAGATCCTGTCTCTTAAACCCTTGAGTTTCTGATCTTCTGCCTAGACTTTCACAGTGCTAGCACTATAGTCATGCCACCCATAGTTTATGTAATGCTTGGTGCATGCTGCTAGGCAAGCATCCTGAGCCATGTCCTCATCCATCACACATTTAAACAAATCTCTTATTTGTTCTTTGACTGTTTCATATATTCAATGCATCTTGATAATATTCACTCCAGCACTTCTCAACCATATTAATCTCCCAACAGGTCCCCTTCCCACAGTCAGGTCTTCTTTGTGTGTGTGTGTAACTCACTTAATCTGGTTACTGCTGCCTGATGGAATATTGATTGATCTTTTTGGCTTGACCTTGTGCTGATTTGTTATTTTTGTTTCCTGTGTAACCATAACTGCAGTGAGTTCGTGAATGCAACAGCCATATTATGTCCACAAGATGGGATTTCACAGCATTCCTCCTCCTCTTGTATTTATTTCTGTCCCTCTTCTGCATTGTGTCCTGAGTTCTAGAGGTGTTGATAAGGATGCCTCATGTAGGTTGAACGCCCAACAATCACTTATTCTTAGCATTTGACCAGTTACCAATCTGATTTAACTGCTGCCCACTATAGAAGAGCACTTGTGACCAAGGTTGAAATCAGCACTAATCTATGTGTAGAAACAAATATTTAAATTTCTTTTGAGACAGGGTCTCACTCTGTAGCTTGGCTGGCTTAAACTTGGTGTATTGATAAAGGTATATGGCTGGCTTTGAGTTTCCAGAGATCTGCCTGCTTCTGCCTCCTGAGTGCTATGATTAAAGGTTTGTATGCAAGCATGCCAGACCTTATAACGTTCTTAATATTTAACTTTAAAAACCAGTGTTGATTGGTTGTTGATTGGAGTTTTAGAAGCTAGTCACAGTTTACTAAAACTTGCAGAGAACATTTAGTTTTCAACTAAAATGTTTTCTATCCCATTGCGAAAATTAATGTTATAAATAGACTGCATCAACTAATAACCTACTGACTGCATTCTGTAACTTTTTTTGAACTTTATTTTTATTCTGTCTACGTGAGTGTTTGCCTGCATGTCTATCTGTGCATCACTTGTGTGCCTGGTGCCCAAGACTAGAAAGGGCATCAGATTCTGTAACTGGCATTATGATGATTGTGAGCCACCATGTAGGCTCTGACAATCGAACGGTAGTCCTCTGCAACAAGCCAGTTGTCTTATCTACTGAGCTATCTATCACTCAAGCCGATCTTTAATTCTATAATTAACCCCGAGCCTTCTTTTTTGTTTTTGTTTATTTTTTGAGACAAGATCTCTCTCTAACTCTGGCTGTCCTGGAACTCCCTATGTAGGCCAGGCTTCTTTTGAATTCAGAGATCCACCTTCCTCTCCTTCCTGAGTACTGGGATTAAAGGCTCTCATCACCGTGCCTATCCCCCTGTGAGACCTACAAGCCAATATATAATTACAGTCTGCAGAACACAGAATAAGCATTGGCTGTTTCAAACTCACAGCCGAGAATGGCTCAATAAACTTCACATTCAAAAACAGCTGAGAATTATGTAGAAGGGAACTGAGAAGTTATTGCATGAGTTTAAAGTTTCGTTAAGAGAGCTGTTGCTTCTTTCAGACTACTTTGGTTAAAATGCTCGTATAAGTTGCGATTTTCTTGAAATCATTGGAGTTGCAAGTAGTTTTTTCTAATTTTTAAAAATGCTTCTAGGTAAAATGGTAGTGGAACATAGTGATAACTTTTTCCCCTGTCCCTGCATTGACTGATAATGAGCAGCCCCCTTTACCTTTAGACATGGTGAAAAGTTGAGATAGATCAAGCAAAAGTGGAGCATCTCTGTGAGTCTGTTCAGCTCCACCTCTCACTGCACGTTTGCCCCTTCCTGCCTGGAGTTTTGAAACAGTCTCCTAGTTTGAAATTTAAGGTACACATTTCTGCTTTGAGAATGTTGTGGTCATGCTTCATAGTTTGTGTTGTTGATTTTCCTTAAGTCCTTTGTACTTAGAGAAATTTTTTATTTTATATATGTATTTCATGTTTAGCTCTAAAAATCTGTTTGGATTCGTCTTAGATCTGTATATAATTATGGAAATTTATTTAAAATTTGTTTTTTTTTTTTCACCATAGTTTTTGAAGTTAAGATGTGCATTATTAGCTGGTGTGGTAGCACATGCTAGCTTCTAATTCCAACAACTAGGAGACAGAGGCAGGTGGATCTCTGTACACAGAGAAACCCTGTCTCAAGAAAACCTAAATAAACAAACAAACAAACAAAAAGATGTGCATGAATACTGCCAAGTAACTAACCCTTTTATTTCATGTTAGATGTTTAATTTCTTGAAATGAGGAACCACTACTTATTTTGAGCTATAATTTTCCTTTTTTTTATTTTTTATTAATTACAGTTTATTCACTTTGTATTCCCCCATAAGCCCCTCCCTCTGATTTTCCTTTCTTAAATGTTACTTTTTATTTTGCTTTCTTATTCAAAGATGATAATTTAGTTAATTGATATACATTAGATATACTCAATTTTAAATCTGTAATAAGTATAAACTGTCTTATGATTAAAAAATATAGTAGCTAGTAGAGTTTGGGATTTAGCTCAAGTCCTGTGTGCAGTCCTCAGCTCTCTGGGGAAAAATATCTGAAGATATGGCTCAGTGTGTTAAGAACACTCGCTATATTTCAGAGGACTCAAGTTCAGGTCCTAGCAGCTTACATGGTGGCTCAGAACTGCCTGTAATTCCAGTTTTAGGGCCTTCAACACCCTCTTCAGGCAGTGGTGTCACACGCCTTTATTCTGAGCACTCAGAGGCAAACAGATCTGTGTTAGTTTGAGGCCTATCTGCACAGTAGGTTCCAGGATGGATGGCCATGATTACATAGAGAGTCCTTGTCTCAAAAAAGAAAAAAAGAAGAGAGAAGCATTTCTAATTAACATTCAGATCTCCAAGTCTAGGGCAGGGGGAAGCTTGGATCAGCCAGCTTTCCCAGTTTCTGCTCCCTGGAAGATTATTATTGTGTGTGCATATGAAATGGGAGAGCCTTCCTCCAGTGTCTCTCCCCATCCTGGGGCCCATACCTCTTCCCAAGTCACCAACCCTCTGCCCCCTGAGAAAAACTGGACATGGGGGGTGGGGAGGGGAGCTGACCAGGGGACGACACTTTCCTGTGACATCCAAACTTTGGCAACCCCAGTTAGTGTTTGAGCCTGTTTGTCTCTTGGGCACCCCTTTGACACCTTGATGATTTTTGGCAACTTCAGAAATAAATGGCAGTTTTTATGGGGAAAAGATTCAGATTTCCAGTGTCTGATGTTGTATATACTATACAAATATAGTCATACACATATATTTAAGACTGAAATCCATGCCGAGGATGGTGATGTACACCTGTAACCCCATTACTGGAGAGGCTGAAACAGAGAATCACAAGATCAAGGCCAGCCTGAGCTACCAAGTGATATACTGTCAATTTTTTTTTCTAAATTGCAATCCAAACAAAGTCTGTGCACTGACGTCAAATGATGAATGATGTCTTTTTTTTTTTTTTTTTTTGGTTTTTCGAGTCAGGGTTTCTTTCTGTTGTCTAGGAACTTGCTATGTAGACAGGGTGGGCCTCAAACTCAGAAGAGATCTACTTGCATGACATGGCATGTCACTATCTTACCTCATTATAATTTTTTTGTTTGTTTTGTTTTTGCTTCACTGAACATATTTTTAAGCCTATGTCTTTTCTACATTTTGATAGGAGAATAAGCTAAATAGTAACTAGAAAGTAGCAGTGGATTAGATTTAGGTTTCCTGCTCAAAATAACTCTTTTTTTTTTCTTCCCTCAGAGATCTGCAGAGGATAACCCTGCCCAGCATTAATCGGCTCAGACACTTCACTAATGATACAATTCTGGATGTCTTCTTCTACAACAGCCCCACCTACTGTCAGACTATTGTGGATACAGTAGCTTCTGAAATGAACCGAATATATACACTTTTCCTGCAGAGGAACCCTGGTTTCAAAGGGGGTGTATCCATTGCTGGTCATAGTTTAGGTAACAGATGAATTCCCTGTAGTCAGAGAGGACTATCACATTTTGAAATACAATGTCTTTAATCAGTAACAGAATCAGAGAACTGCAAGTACCCGTAGTAGAGCATTTGGAAGGGGTTGGAAGGGTGGTGGTAAATTGGGAAGCTCTCTGTGTTGATTTTCTTATATTTGTAATTGGCTTTATAACTTTTTGTATAAAAGACAGCCAATGTCTTAGAAATTGTCCCTTCTTCTATTTTACTTATAGGTTCGCTTATATTGTTTGATATCCTAACAAATCAGAAAGATTCTTTTGGGGATATTGACAGTGAAAAGGTAATTTGGAAGTTTAGATAGGTTCTTTTGTAGTGTTCCATACTAAAAATTTTAAATTTTTCAGCTTTTTGTGTTTAGCTAAGTTTAGTCTTTTGCCATGCTAATGTTAAATGTACATTTATCTTAACAGTCTGGTAATTGTGTCTTGTCATTCTTGGGTGATAGAAGCAAGATAGTGTTTTGCATCTACAAATCACTGCCATATTGTAAAATGAGCATAGGTGTCTTCCTTCTCTTTGTAAATATGCACTGCTGGTGCCTGAGTAGAACTGTAATCGTTGAGCTAATTGGAGATTTTGTATAAGGATATGAAGAGTGACTTGGACGGTTTATACAAGTTATGTGTGACAGCCAGCGGGAAACATGATGTTGAAACCTTTCTCTTCATAAAGTCCTAGGAACATTGATCATTGATAGTATTGATTTGGTATTTGGTAGACACTTTCTTCTATTTTTTTCTTTTTGGAAGTGTCCAGTGAACCTTTGGGTCATGTGTTCTTCCAGGATTTGGGCTCTGTCTTAGACTATTTTATATCTTTTTGTTTGTTTTGTTTTTTAGATTCATTTATTTATTTATTTACTTTTGAATTTTATTTTTTTCTTATCAGTTACATTTTATTAACTCTGTATCCCAGCCGTGTCCCGATCCCTCATTCCCTCCCAGTTCCTCCCTCCCTCCCTCCCTCCCTCCCTCCCTCCCTCATCTCCACCGTGCCCCTTGCCAAGTCCACTAATAGGGGGGACCTCCTCCCCATTCATCTGATCCTGTTTTATCAGGTATCTTCAGGACTGGCTGCAAAGCTCTCCTCTGTGGCCTAACAGGACTGCTCCTCCCTTGGGGGGTGGGGAGGCCAAAGAGCCAGTCATTGAGTTCCTGTTAGAAACAGTCCTTGTTCCCCTCACTGTGGGAAACCAATTGGTTACTGAGCTACCACAGGCTACATCTGAGCAGAGGTTCTAGGTTACATTCATACTTGGTCCTTGGTTGCATGTCAGTCTCAGAAAAGACCCTGTGCCCAGATATATTTGGTTCTTGTGGAGCTCCTATCCTTTCCTCATCAGACTAACTCCCCTTCTTTCTTATGATTCCCTGTACTCCGCCTAGATTTATTTTTATATATATAGCTTTTTTATATAGTTATTTTTTATATTTATTTTGTCTGTATATATGAGTGTTTTGTGTGCATGTTTCTGTGTGCATCAGAAGGTACAAGATCCCTTGGAACTGATGGTTGTGAGCCAACATGTAGGTGCAGGAACTGAACTTGGGTCCTTGGAAGAACAAGTTCTTGTAACCACAGAGCCATCTCTCCAGCACCTCTATAGCTGTTTGCCTGTGTGTATCCATCTGCATCATGCATGAACCTGCTGCCCCTGAAAGTCAAAAGAGGGCATCAGGTTCCACGGAACCGAAGTTGTAAGCAACCATGTGTGTGTTCTAGAAACCAAATCCAGGCTCTCTACAAGAGAACAAACTGTTAGCTGCTGAGCCGTCTCTCCAGCCTCCCCATCTGCATTTTAAAGTTTTATGTGTGTGAGGGTTTTCCTTCGTGTATGTCTGTGCACCACACTTGTATTGGTGCTCTCAGAATCCAGAAGAGGAAGGACATCAGATCCCCTAGCACTGGAGTTACACACAGTGAGCTGCCATGTGGCTGCTAGGAATTGAACCCAGCTCATCTGGAAAAGCAGCCAGTGTTTCAACCGCTGAGCTGACTCTCTAGCTCTGACTGTTTTATTTTAAATTATGTTTTTTTTTTTTTCTTTTTTTGAGAAAGGTTTTCTCTGTGTAGCTTTGGCTGTCCTGGAACTCTGTAGACCAAGCTGGCCTTGAAGTCACAGTGATCTATCTGCCTCTCAAGTACTTGGATTAAATGCACGTATCACCACCATGCAGCCAAATTATGTTTTCTTAATAAGAGCTCAGGGTGTTAAAAATGATAGAAAATATTTTGATAGTAATTTAAATACATTTTTGCCAGGTGTGGTGACACACACCTTTAATTCCAGCTCTTGGGAGGCAAAGGCAGATGGATCTCTGTGAGTTTGAGGCAAGTGTAGTTTATAGAGTGGGATCCAGGCCAGCCAGACCTAGATAATGAGTGAGACTGTCTCAACAAGAAAAAAAGGAAAAAAGAAAAAAACTTGGTGGTCACTGTTTTATTTTATTTTGTGTAAGTTAATACTTACTTAAAACTGGGTGTGGTGTTACTTACCTATTATCCCAGCACTTGGAAGGTTGAAGCAGAAGGATCAAGGATTAAAGGTCATCCTCATTTACATACTAAGCTGGAGGTCAGCCTGGGCTACGTGAGACCTTGTCTCAAGAACAAAGCAAAGTGTAAAGTTGATTCATTATTGGGAATCTCTTACATGGTACACTTCAAATTATAAAATAGTATTAATAATAAAAATAAATGAATTTACAAATAATAAGCTTTGTGATACAATTTTTAGGATTCATTAAGTACTGGTGAGGATCGAGGAGATGTACCAACATTAGAAGAAGATCTGAAGAAGCTTCAACTCTCCGAGTTTCTCACTGTCTTCGAGAAGGAGAAAGTTGATAAAGAAGCTCTGGTAGGAATAGGCTTTTGTATTTTATACCAAGCCATTTTCATTATTTTTATCTTTATCATGCTTACCAAGAACATGACCTTTGGAAGCTTTTCACTTAAAATATTTCACCACTAATGATGATCTTTAGCATTGTTTATCTGCTTTTATCATATTGCTGTGTGAGAGCACACAGATCAGATGATCCATATTGATGCGCACTTGTACTAGAGTATGATCTAAAGCAGGCTAAGCTTAGAGAAAATGTACTATCCCGAGTCTTATTTCCTGTTAGAGCTAAAGAGCTGTACTGTTGGTGTTTTCTTTTTCCCTTTTTTGTTGTGCTTTTTCTGGTTTGTGGAACATCTCTTCACTTAGCATATATTTAATTGCCCCCTATGATCAGGAAGATAAACCTGTCTACTGACTTTGGTGTTAGTAGTTTTGTAGAAAGGTACATTAATTGTACATTATTTAATTAAAATTATACTAAAAATTGATGAGGAAAAGTACATGGTGCTATAAAACTGCAAAGGAGAAGGAAGTCTTTCCCCACTAAAATGAGTGGCATTTATGTGAAATTTTGATGTTACTGTATTGTGTTATATATCTGTGCTGGCCAAATGTTCTCCTAGCTTTTGTCCCTTAGGAGCACAGTCCCGAATAACTGACATTTAAGTGGCTCATCATGAAGCCTTTAGATACCCAGCTTTCCTAGGTCTCTTTTGGTTTTTCAAGACAGGGTTTCTCTGTGTAGCCTTGCTTGCTGTGCTTTACTCACTTTGTAGACCAGGCTGGCCTCAAACTCTCAGAGATCCGCCTGCCTCCGCTAGGATTATAGGCGTGTGCCACCTCACCCTGCTGACAAGGTTTTCTTTATCAAAGTTACTTGGAGGTTATACCTTAAGGGAGCCAGCTCAGTGTAGAACTAAGAACAAGAGTGACTCCTTTTAGAATCTAGAACATTTAATTGATTTTATTTTGTCTAGAAATAAACAAAACAAAACTGTTGTTTATGCCTAGGCTTTATGTACAGACAGAGATCTTCAGGAAATGGGAATTCCCTTAGGACCAAGAAAGAAGATACTAAACCATTTCAGGGCCAGAAAAAATTCAATGGTATGTGTCTAAAATTGTTTGATGGGCTGAGACAGTTCTTTGACACTGACAGTGTACCCTTATGCTTTGTGAGACATACACTCTGCTAACCAAGCAATGCTTTTGTATTTTTTTTTTCATACTAGGGATTGAATCTAGGACCTTACACACGATAGGCAATTACTTTAAAACTGGGCAGTATCTCACTAAGTTCTGGCTGGTTTTGAGTTCATTCTGTAGGCCAGGGATGCTTCAGTTTGAACTTGAGATCCTCCTGCCTCAAGCTTCTCAAGTAACTGGGACTATTGGACCTATACCACCAAGCTCAGACCTGGCTTGTTTTTTGTTTATGTTTTGATGAGACAAGGCTTCCCCGTGTTACTCAAGCTATCCTCAAGCTCTTGGGATTTTCTTTTTTTCTTTTTCATCTTGAGACAGAATCTCACTATCTAGCTCTGGCTGTCTTAGAACTCACTTGCAAAATCAGGTTGGCCTTGAACTCAGGGAGATCCTCCTGCCTGTTCGTCCCAAGTGGTGGGATCAAGGGTGTGTACACCACCTTACCTGGTTTTTGCTTTCCTTTGTGAGCCATATTGTTGGAACTACAGATGTGTGCTACCTGGCTAAGCAGTGTTGATCATTAGACTTTGGCCCTTTTGGAAATTAAACCCATTTTCTTTATCTGCATCTTTAGAAATGCTATTGGTTTCAGAAGTCTTTCTCTTTAGAGCTCCTACCATTCTGATATCTTTATAACAGTGTTGTTAAAGTTCCTATCACATACCATACTTTTTTTTTTTTTTGAGACAGGGTTTCTCTGTGTAGCCCTGGCTCTCCTGGTCTCTTTGTAGACCAGCTGTCCTCAAACTCAAAGAGATCTACCTGCCTCTGCCTCTCAAGTGCTGGGTCTAAATGTGTACACCACCATGCCCAGCAAATTTAACCTTTTAAAGTATAAAATCTAGTTGTTTTTAGTCTTTCATACTTCTATAACCATACCATTAATTCTAGCATCTCTCCATCACCTCTAGAGAAAATCCCATACCAACTTGTAGTCATGCTCCATTACTCACTTACCCCACCCTTTGTCAGCCACTGCCAGTCACTATGTTATTCTTCTTTTATTACTTGTGGTAAATTTCCATGTAAGTGAAATTACACATATATAGCTTTTTATATGACTGCTTCTTTTCATTTAGCAAAATGTTGCATGTTAAGATCTGTGTATGTCCCTTCTGCCTTATTGTGTGTGAATTTGTGTTTGTGTGTGTGAGTACATGTGGGTGTGTGCATGTTTGTGTATATGAATGTGTGTATATGTGCACGTGCGTTTGTGTTTGTACCCACATGCCTGTGTTTGTGTGTTTGTGTGCATGTGCACTCTGTGTGTGAGTGTGTGTGTGTGTGGTCAGGGAGTGTTCCTTGTCCTCCTCATTTGAGTGCTGGGATCCTGGGCATGAACCACTACCTCTAGTTGCAGGCCTTTTTTTTACCTTCTTTTTAACTTTTTAGTGGAATGCCCCCTTTCTTTTTGAGACACAAGTCACACATTCATTCATTCATTCACTCATATTGAGATAGGGGCTTACTCTTTAGCCCTGGTTAACATGAAAATCACAGAGATCTGCTTGCCTCTGCCTCTTGAGTGCTGAGACTAAAGGTGTGCACCACCACATCTGGAAAGACACAGGTCTTGATCCAGTATTTGTACTATATCCAACACCTAGAGAGACATCAGATTGCCTTGATTATAGGGGCATACATTTGATAGAATTTAGCAGTGCTCTGATGTTGTCTGTCATGGTTGCCTGAAAGTTTAGCTGCTGCCAAGACGAGTGTGTACAGCTCTCATTCATTTATTTGTTTATACTAATATGTTTTTTGAGACATGGTTCCACTTTGTAATTCTACCTGGCCTAAAACTTGACCTGTAGAAAAGGCTGGCCTTAAACTCACAAAGATATACCTGCCTCCAAGTGCTGGGATTAAAAGTGTGCTCTACCACGCTCAGACCTTATGTATTTTTTAAAGATTTATTTTACTGTTTTGGTTTTATTTGTTGGACTGCATGTGTGTTTGTGTACCCGTGCATGCCTGGTGCCTGTGGAAATCAGAAGAGGACATTGGATTATCTGGGACTGCAGTTACAGACAGTTGTGAGCTGCCGCGTGTGTGCTGGGAACCGAACCCGAAGTCCTCTGGGAGAGAGGCCAGTCTTAGCCACTGGGCCATCTCTCCAGCCCCCTTCATCATTTTTAAAGCACACAGGGAGTCAGCTCATAATGTAGGGCAACTATCGTTTGCTCAGTAGCTTTATCTTGTTTTGTAGGAAACCACTTAAAATTATTGATGTGTTTCCTTTCACATTAGCAGTTTTTTCCAGTGCATAGTCTTTTCATGTAACGATTTTTTTTCTTTGATTCTTTTTAGAGCGTTAATAGACCAGCCACATCAGCTTCAGAGGTGAACATCCCCAAGGAAAATGGTGACTATCCAGATGTTGGCATTGGGCAGGTAAAAATACTCTTTTTTTTTTTACTATTAGTTGTCATTGGTAGATAAGACTTATTATTAATGAGAAATGGCTTTTTTTTCTTTTCTTACAGGTATCTGTAAAATACCCCCGGCTCAACTACAAGCCAGAAATATTCTTTGCCTTTGGATCCCCAATTGGAATGTTTCTTACTGTCCGAGGATTAAGAAGAATTGATCCTAATTATAAATTTCCCACATGCAAAGGTTTCTTCAATATTTACCATCCTGTAAGCAATGGATAGCTGCCATATAGTTTTACCTATATACTAGGGTTTCTTAGCAAACAGCATGGAATCATGTAATTTTGTCTTGTATTGATTTGCTTTTCTGTATTATTCTTTAGTAATTAGACAGTTAGTGGTACTGATTAGGAAGAAATTATTAGAAGTTACTGATTAGGAAGAAGGTGGCAGTGGCACATGCCTTTAATCCCAGCACTTGGGAGGCAGCTGGCATGTGGATCTCTGAGTTTGAGGCCACCCTGATCTACAGAGCGGGTTCCAGGACAGCCAGAGCTAGGAAGTAATTAGAAAGGAGAACTGTGCATATTCATGTGCCAGAGGGCAGCCCTGGGCACCACTTGCCAGGTGCTGTCCTTTTTTTCTTTTGTTTTCTTTTTTCTCTTTTCTTTCTTTCTCTTTCTTTTTTCTTCCTTTCTCTCTCTTTCCTTCCTTCCTTTCTTCCTTTCTTTCTTTCTTTCTTTCTTTCTTTCTTTCTTTCTTTCCCTTCCTTTCTTCTTTCTTTCTCTCTCTTTTTCTTCCTTCTTTCTTTTTCTTTCTCTCTGTCTCTTCTTTCTCTTTTTTCTTTCTTCTTTCTTTTCTTTCTTTCTTCTTCCTTCCTTCTTTCCTTTTTTTTTTTTTTTTAAGATTTATTTATTATGTACATCTGCATGCCAGAAGAGGGCACCAGATTTCATTTTAGATGGTTGTGAGCCACCATGTGGGAATTGAACACATGACCTTTGGAAGAGTAACAAGCACTTTTAACCTCTGAGCCATCTCTCCAGCCTTCCTTCCTTCCTTCCTTCCTTCCTTCCTTCCTTCTTTCCTTCCTTCCTTCCTTCCTTCCTTCCTTCCTTCCTTCCTTCCTTCCTTCTTCCTTCTTCTTTCTTTCTCTCTTCCTTCCTTCCTTTCTTTTTCTTTCTCTCTTTTTTCTTTCTTTCCTTCTCTCTCTCTCTCTCTCTCTCTCTCTCTCTCTCTCTTTTCAGGGGCTCCAATTGGCCTGGCCTGCAAATTGCTAAGTAGGCTAGACTGACCAGGCAGTGAGCCTTAGGGATCTGCCTGTTTCAGCCTTTCCAGTGCTAGCATTTACAAGTATTTGTCATTATGCTAGCGTGTTTTTTTTTTTTTTTTTTTTTTCCTATGGATTAAATACAGTCTAGGGATCAGACTTAGGTCCCCTGGTCCCCTTGTAGGTCAAGCACTGTATTGACTGGGCCACCTCCCAGCCCATGACTGTACCTTTTTACAAAATGTAACTATTTTTACCTAAGATACATAGTTCCTCAGACTGTCTTCTTTATTAGGGATAAATATTTAGCTGTTATTTTTTCCTATGTAGTTTGATCCTGTGGCATATAGGATTGAACCAATGGTGGTCCCAGGAGTAGAATTTGAACCAATGCTGATTCCACATCATAAAGGCAGGAAGCGGATGCACTTAGGTGAGTCTGGGTATAGAACTCGATAATTCTGGATGTTCTAATGAGTGTCAACTAAATGGAACTATTTCTTTTCTTTGCTGGACCTTAAACTTGATGTCATGTAGCATTTTTTTATTCACTTATGTTTCAGAACTAAGAGAGGGCTTGACCAGAATGAGTATGGACCTGAAGAACAACCTGCTGGGCTCACTGCGGATGGCCTGGAAGTCTTTCACCAGAGCTCCATACCCTGCCTTACAAGCTCCAGAAACAGCAGAAGAAACTGAGGCAGAACCTGAATCAAGTTCAGAAAAGTCCAGTGGTCAGTGACACTACTAGAAATTACCCGAGGAGGGATGCCATGCTGTGGAGTTCTTGCCCATGACCTTCTTTCCTTTCCTCTTTAATTATGTAGGATCTAGTCTGTGAGTTACAGTTGCCCTTGAACTATGCCAACCTTTCTTGACTTTTTAATAGCTAGAAATTAGGGAAATAGTATACGTGAGGAAAATGTCAAGAGACACCATTAACTACCCTTGAAACATTCCCACTTTGGATTTGGGAATGATATTAAAAGTCTACTCTGTGCCAGGCATTGTGGGTCTCCACAGTTTTAATGTCAGTGCTTAGGAGGCAGAGGCAGGTTAGTTCAGAGCCAGCCTGGGCTATATAATGACTTTCAGGCCAGAAAGTCTACTCTGACATTCCTACTTTAAAAAAATAATCACTGTGTGTGTTTGTGTGAAGTATGGCATGTGTGTACAGCTGCTAGTGGGGTTCAGAAAAGGGTACTGTATCCCCTAATGCTGAAGGTACATTCAGTTGTGAGCTGCCCAACATGGGTGTTAGGGACTAAATTTAGATCCTCTGGAAGATCAGCAAGTGTGCTTAACTGTCTAATCAACTTACAGCCCCCTTACTTTTTTTTGAAATGCTTGTTTTTGCTCTTATGTATATGTGTGCATGGCTGAGAGTGTGGATGTGTGCACCAAATGCATGCCTGGTGCCTTCAGAGGCCAGGGTCATTGGGTCCCCTGGTATTGGTGTTATAGGGGGCTGGGACCTACCTGATGTTGGTGCTGGAATTAAGGCTGGGTCCTTTGCAAGAGCAGCAAGTCCTTGAAATTGCTGAGCCATTTCTCCAGCATCAGTACCTTACTTTATATAAGGTGAATGTGTGTTTGTATCAGAGAACTAGCTAGGATACTCAGTTCCCTACAGAGTCTATCATTGTTTGCATTTAGTTTATAAAATTCAATACACTTGACTCATGGGTGTACAGGTGATGAGTGTGTCAATCTAAAGAAGAAGCTGAGGAGCCAGAGAGATGGCTCAGAGATTAAAAGCACTATCTGCCCTTCCAAAGGACCGGGGTTCAATTCCCAGCATCCATATGGCTGCTCACAACTGTCAGTAATGCCTGTTCCAAGGGATCTGACACCTTCACAGTAATGCACATAAAATAAAATAAATTATTTTTTGAAAAAAGAAGAAATTGAACAAAATTAGTGTGGTCCAGGGGCTTTAAAGAAGTCAAGAGGAAGAAGACAGAAGAGAGCTGTCTAAGCAGAGCACTCATCGCACAGTAAATGTGGGGTCTGAGGGAGCATTTACTCTCCGCTGTGTGTGTACATCTTCATGTGTACATGTACATATGGGTGCAAGTGTGTGTGTGTTGGTGTACAAGCATTGCAGGCTCGAGTGTCTTCCTCCATCTTTCTTCACCTTAGTTTATTTAGACAGTCTTTCACTGAACTTCGAGCTCACCAACTGGCTAGCAAGACCCAGGGATTCTCCTATCTCTGCCTCCCCAGTGTTGGAATCACAGGCATGTGTGGCCATGTCCAGGTTTCTTTGTGGGTGTCTGGGTGCTGATGATACGAGCTCAGTCCCTCAGGCTAGTTGAGTCACTTTTGCAGTCCTGCACTTAGGTTCTTACTGGCTCTTCTGTATCCAGATGCTAACACAGAAGAGCCTTCTGTGGAAGGTAAAGAAGAGGTCCCTATCAATGTGGGAATGCTGAATGGAGGCCAGCGCATTGACTATGTGTTACAGGAGAAGCCCATCGAGAGTTTTAATGAATATTTATTTGCTTTACAAAGCCATCTATGCTACTGGTAAGTGGCTTGTATTTTTTGTTTTGTGTGCTGTATCCTTATCTAGTCTTCCCTTTCTGCTCCCTCAGTGTTGAGTGGGGTCTCGGAAGTACTGGCACCAGCTTTACCCTGGCCTTTAAAGTGTATCCTTTGAAGCTACTGTGAGTGTTCATGTCTGAAACTCTAGTATTTGTGATACTGAGTCTGGAAGGTTTTTAGTGTGTAGGCAGCTGGAGCTCCCCACTAAAATCCTGCTCCTCTACAACAGCAAGGGGAAGAAAAGAAAAATAGGAAGAAAAGAAAGCAATCCATTTAAAAGCATTTACAGCAGCTAAGTCATATGTGTTATTACTAAATATAATTAATTACCTGATGGAGAGTAGATCAGAGTAGTGGTGATTGCTAAACAAAACAATTTTGTGTTAGGTGCAATGGCACACACCTGTAATCCTAACACTTGGGAACAAAGAGGCAGGTGGATCTCTGTGAGTTCAAGGCCAGACTGGTCTACAAAATGAGTCCAAGATAGCCAGGGATACACAGAAAAACCCTGTCTCCAGAAAAGAAAACAAAAACAAACAAAACAATTTCATCATCAGTGAAACAGAAAGAAAAGAAAACCAGAAAAAGAAGGATGGGGTACAGAGAAGTGTTTCTAAAAGCCACTACCTGTAATTTCAGTACTCGAGAGGCCGGGCCAGGAGGATTGCTGTGGCCTCGTTTATTGTTGTTTATTTGTTTTTCTTTTTATTAATTCAATTTATTGTTTTCTCGTTTTATGCTTTGGGGAATTCCTCTATGAACTCTCATAGATTTACTCCTCTATGAGAGTTGATATAATAAGTGTCATCTTTATGTGGTAAATAGACTCAAACTAAAGCTCAACAAAATCAATGATACAAGGAGCTAAAATAATGCCCTTTAAATGTGGTCTCTTTAAAATGTTTTGCTCGTTTTATTTAAAAACAATTACGTGTGTACACATGTTCTACAGCATGTAAGTGGGAGTCAGCACAGCTTGTGGGAGTCAGTTCTCTCTTCTGTGTGGGTCCTGGGGAGTAAGCTCAAGTTAGTCAGTCCTGGTGACAAGTACCTTTATGGTTGAGCTATCTCACTGGCCCTGCCTGTTTGCTTATTACAGAATTAAACTTAATTTAAGAATTGTTTTTAAAGCTGGAAATGTTGGTACATGCCTGTATCCCAGAACGTGAGGAATGGAGGCAGGAGGATCAGGAGCTCAAGGCCATATTTGAGCTGCTGAATTTCCAGTTTGAGGCCAGCCTCACCTGAATGAGATCCCATCTCAAAGTCCAAAAAGCTAGACAAAAAAGAATGGCCCCTCATAACCTGTAATAAATTTTTCTGAGTGGTTTGAAAGTCAAAGGAAAATACATAATTTAAAAAAAAGCGCCAGGTGTAGTGGTAAATGCCTGTAATTCCAGCATTTGTGAGGCAGAAGCAGGTGTATCTTTGTGAGTTCGAGGCAAGCCTGATCTACAAATTGAGTTCAGGACTGCCAAGGTTTTTACACAGAGAAACCCTGCCTTGAAACACCAAAAAAAAAAAAAAAAAAGTTCTTTTATCCCATCTCATGTCAATCTATCGAGTCTCCTCCCCAACATGCAGCTATCATGTTCTTTTAACAAAGAAAAAGATTTCTTTAAAAATGTAGATGGTAGGGGGCTGGAGAGATGGCACAGAGGTTAAGAACACTGACTGCTCTTCCCAGACATCCCGAGTTCAATTCCCAGCAACCACATGGTGGCTCACAACCAACTATAATGTGATCTGATGCCCTCTTCTGGCAAGCAGGTGTATATGCAGATAGAGCACTTATATGCATAAAATAAAAAAATATTAAAATGAAAAATGTACATGGTAGACATTTCTTTTATCTTATCTACTGATATTTCTCAAGTTTCTTCATTCTTTCAGACACAGCATTCCACTTCATTAGTTTATCACAGTTGTATGGCCAGTCCTCTGCCAACAGACCTTTAGGTTTCTGTCTTTCTACTTTTTATATCATGTTCACGTTGCTTCATCTGCTCACCAGTCTGTCAGTACACACTTAAAAATGGAACTGCTGGCATAAAGCCATATGCACTTTTAATATTTGGTAAATGCTGCCAAACCAAGGTTGTCCTTTACAAAAGCATTTTGCACAGTAATTTGTGTCTCTGCATGCATGTGGGTCCCAGTGATCTGACTCAGGTCATCAGCTTGGCAGCAAATGCTTTACTCACTGAGTCATCTTGCTAGCTCAGATTGTCCATTTTTACATTCTCACCATGTACATACTAATGTTTCCCCTAGCCTTTTGTAAATAGTTCTTTAAGAATAGATTTCTGTGTACATGTATGTGATATATAGACATGTTTATATACACACATGTGTGCAGGCACATGTGTACTGTGCATACTTGTATATGGAGGCCAGAGGTCAATGTCAGTGCCTTTCTCTAATGATTAGACCTTATTTTTTTGAGACAAGGTTTCTGACTGAATCTGGAGCTCACTGATTAAACTAGACTGGCAGGTCATTGAGCTTTAGGATAGACCTGACTCAGTGCTCCTTGGTCCTCCTTCTCCAAGTACTGAGGTTTTAATTATGTTCTGGACATGCAAACCCATATCCTTATGCTAGTGCAGCAAGCACTTTATAAACTGATCCATCTCCCCAGTCCCCTTTCCAACACAGTCTTATCAACTTAAAAATGTTGACAATTTGTTGGTTGTAGGATATATAATAAATACAGATACTTCAAGTTTACAAATTGGTGAATTTCGTTATCTGTGAAACCATTACCATAATCAATAAGTGACAATACCCATCACTGAAAAGTTTGTGTTCCATTGTAATTCTCCCTGTACCCACATCTCCAGGGACTGATCTGCTTGTTAATGTACAGTAGAGTGCATATGACATCTATTTGGTAGTCCCATCTTAAGTACTTCTCAATTGCTGTGACAAAGCACCACAACCAAAGCAACATAAAAGAAGCAGCTTATTGAGAATTAGAGGTTCAGAGGGTTAGTCCGTGAGCATGGCGACAGGCATGGCACTGGAGCAGTAGCTGAGAGCTTGTATCTTAAGACAACAGCCAACATGAGGCAGAGGGAGAAAGCTAACTGGGAATGGCCAGACTTTCAAAACTTCAAAGCCCACTCCCAGTGACACCTTCTCCAACAAGGCCACGCCTCCTAATCCTTCCCAAACAGTTCCACCAGCCAGGGACTAAGTAGTCAAACATATGGATGTTTGGGGGTCACTCTCATTCAAACCACAAAATCAGAATATATTTCCTTTTTTGGTTTAGCTTCCCTAAAGGGAATTATTTCAAAATCTATCCGTGTTGTGTATATAATGTATTCCTTTCTAGTGAATGATCAGCATTTCTACTGTATGTATGCAACCCACTTATGTCTTTACCTCTCGTTTTGTCAAGACAGGGTTTTTCTCTCTGTGTGGGGTGTGTGTGTGTGTGTGTGTGTGTGTGTTATTTTTTGAAATAAAGCCTCACTGTTTAGAACAGATTGTCCTCAAACTCGAAATCTTCTATCTTCCTGAGTGCTGGATCCAGTGTTTACCACTCTTGGCTTAATATTTGACATCTCTTCTTTTTCTCCTTTCTTTCTTTCTTTCTTTCTTTCTTTCTTTCTTTCTTTCTTTCTT